TCTGCCGATTGAACATTGTAAAGGAAGAGTTGTTAATGATGAGTTTCGGTTTATGAATGATGACCTTGGTATGTTATCTGTAGATGGAGATATTGTCATATCTGCTGTTGACGTGGTTGTGCATGTTGTCATACTGAAAAGGATTCATCTCTTTTCATGGAAAGGCTTTGTCAGTGGATCAAGTCAGAGAGATTGTGTTAATTAGGGCTCCAAGTACTTAGGGCCTGGATCGGTTTCAGCAAAACTTGAGTCCATTATTGATGACTCAAGTACTCACTAAGGGGAAGTAACTCTAAATTCAAGTATTTTTCTTAATTTCAATACACATTTTGTATGTAATGAAAGAAAGAAAGCTAGTTGCATTAGTCATCTACGCTACAAGTGAGAGCTGTTGTATATCTATAGAAAGGTATTGATTATTTCTTTTCTTCTGAGGGGGCATGGGTGGCTAAGGCGCAGCGATTCGCTGTGCAGAGTTGCGTCCCTTGGGCACGCCAGAAACCTATGATTGTGGGTTCGAATCCCGGATCGCCCTGATTATGTTTCTAGGTTTGTCAGCACCATACCCGTGCTCGTGGGTTTCACTAAGGTGGTAAACGTCTCAGACCTGGATCACTTCGGGCTTTTCTCCCACATTAAGCTGACACGCATTGATATGACTGGAATACTGTTAAAAGCGGCGTTAAACACAACTCAACAACTTTTCTTCTGTAATTTCAATGGGTGATTCTTCTGTCAGTAAAATGTTCAATCACATACAATCTCATTTTAACAGGCACATTCTTGTAAAATTGCTACAAATAGATTTCAATTGATTAATATTTTAAACAAATTTCAAACAAAGTTCAAAGACATTTTAACGTCAGTGCGACTGCCTTGCACTAGGTATATAGGTCTGCATGGCCCACACTCGGGGACTTGGTTGATGCATGTCATCGTTTCCCAACTGATTCAATCAATGCTCATGATGTCAATCACATGATTGTCTGATCCAGACTTGATTATTTACTGATATTGCCGAGTGTGGGGTTAAATACCAAACAAGATAACAAAACATGTCCCACAAAGTAACCATATAAAAATTTAACACAGGTAGGTTTATTTACGTGGTACGTTGTACATATATATATTGTTTTGTTTTATTTGCTAGAAGAAGAAAAGAAGAAAGCTGCATAAGTCTACACACTTAGCTCTTATTCATAAAGATAATTACATCCTCAAAATGTTTTTATTATTTGGTGGGGGGGTAGCCTATTGGTTAAAGCATTTGCTCATCACGCAGAAGACCATCACGCCTGTTTGTCTGGTTTCGATTCGACTGATACAATGTGCAAATCAGGTATCTTGTCTTGAGACATGACTGTGAAAAGTCGTACAAGAATATGCAATTTGTCCTGGTTCGATTCGACTGATACAAGGTGCAAATCAGGTATCTTGTCTTGAGACATGAGTGTGAAATGTGGCCTCCATGGACGCCAAATTGAAAAACATGTTTGGCCATTATTCAGTCATTTTTATTCAAAGTATAATGACATTGGTTAGATTGATGTAGTTAGTATATACAGTACTGGGGCCGTACGCATATTTTCTGTTTTTGTGTGATATTTTTAGTTTTGAACTTGATTTGACCTCTCGGCCTTGACCATAGTGAAAGCTGAAACTTCTTATGCCCAATTTTCTTTTTCTTTAAAAATATAGGGGCTCAACAAATGTCCTGTTTTGAACTTCAATATACATATGCACCTTTCTCTGAAATTCTCTCAAAATGCATTTCCTCACATTGTATACAAAAATCACGTGACCACTGAAGCTGAAACTTCACAAGCTGGTTCCTACCAACAGAAACATCTGAATTATTTCAGGAGGTTAGAATCAGTGGCCGCCATAAAAAAATGATAAGGCTAATAGCACTTTTTTTTGCTTTTTTTGTTTGTTGACTGCCTATCCACACAATGTGAGGCATTTTGTTGTTATTTATCTAATTTTTAAAATGTAATGTCGATTTGTATGGATCCACTGGTCGTAATACAGACTAAATCTCTCGGTGTCTCATAATGTCTGTCTGATGTGTCTCGCACACAAGCACCTGTTGGCAATTGGTGCCGTACATGACCATGGACTTCATTCTTTGCTTGACAAATGGCTGTTCTTTCCTTCCTCCAGGAAAGTGGCTTGGTCTATATGAGTGGCATGACAGTTACCCAATATGAAGCTCCAGATTTTAGGGAAATTTTCATGGAAGATGATCTACCCATGATGGCCAATGCAGGTAGGCTGACACCTGGTTACCATGGACATAGAAATCTTAATGTTCTGTGTGGAAAGGAAGTGATTATGTTATAGATTTGATGCTTGGTTTCATGTATCAGAAGGAGGTTTGAAATTGAGAGTATTAATCTGACGATATTTGTGGTGCCTTCTACAAGTTTGATTGTGATGAGGTTGATGTGGTGTATTGACGGTGCAGTGGAGAGAGGAAAGCCTACTTTAGGATGAATGATTGAGCGGACATGATTGTTCTTCATGATTGACCACAGAGGTGGCTGGAGATAACTATGAGATATTTGCATTGGTTCACTTCCCTCAATCAACTTGTCATGGGTACTTGTTCCAAATATTAAGGGGCAGTGAGGTAACCTCACCAAACCACACCAAAGGCCTTGGTTCAATGTCCCACATGGGTTCAATGTGTGAAGCCCCTTTCTGGTGTCCCCTCTAGGATATTGCTGGAATATTGATTAAAGCAGCATAAAACTATACTCACTCACTCACTCACTCACTCACTCACTCACTCACTCACTCAACCACTCAACCACTCACTCACTCACTCACTCAACCACTCAACCACTCAACCACTCACTCAACCACCCTTGCGCGCACGCACTCACTCACTCAACCACTCACCCAAGACCCACTCACCCAAGACCCACTCACTCACTCACTCACTCACTCACTCACTCACTCACTCACTCACTCACTCACTCACTCACTCACTCACTCACTCACATGAAGTGTCAGCTTTGTGAGCCAGGTCAATGGTTTGAATCCATTCTCTCTATAAGTCACGGTTTGCCTATACCGGATGAGATCTCCTGCTTTATGCTTCCTGGCCTCTCAACAGTCAAGTGTTTCCGTCTCTGCACGAGTTGATGTTCCTACCAGATAGTTTCAATCAAGGTGTTCCACTCTTCTCACAAGATGTCATTGTCTTGTTTTTGCCTCCCTGTCACTAAACCATTATCTACAAGAAGAATATTGGTTCAGAACTTACCGCTTCCTGTCTGCTTTTATGAATCACTCACAGCTAATATTTTCCTCACAACTTCTATATTTCCCCCTCTGGTGGTGGTGTTTTCCTCAGCACATTCGATGTGACTTACGCATGGGAACTGCATGTGACTAACACTGTTGATGAAACGGATCGTGTTTAATGTAACAGCATGTTCATGTCTTGTTGCCATGGTCACTAAAGGCCAGACAATCACTGATTTTGTTTCACGGGTAAGCATAGCCTAAAATTTGCAAATCTGAAGAAAAAGAACAGAAGTTTGCTCAATTAAGTGTGAAAATAGTTCATTTAAACTGTTTTACTGTTTCAAAGTTTAAAACTATGTTATATTGCTTTACTTCATCTTGGCTTATATTGATCTGTTAAACTTGAAGAAAGATTGGTCTAGTGTGACAGATGATGAATGATTATTGTATAGTGCCATGTGTCTATCTCCATTCAATTGTTGCATAGAGCTTGTTAGACACCAAGATTTTGGAAACGTAGTGACCTTGACACATTAGATAGGTATGGTTGAGATGGACAAAAGTTTGTAAGTTGTCAAGAAATAATTAAGGACTTCAGGTATGGCCATAGCTTCCATTAAAACTGTGTTTGAACCAGAGAAATATTTAACATAAAATGATAAATCCCTTCTACGAGTGATGTGTAGGTTTAGAATCTCTTTTCATATTTAATAATACAAGTTAATAATCAGAACAAAGACTATTCAAATACTATTTGTACATATTGTAAATCTGGGTCCATTGAAAACAAGTTTCATGTTCTGTTTATTCGCGATGCCTTTGCTTCCCAAACAGAGAAATATTTGCCCGATTTAATAAATACATACGTAAATCACCAATTTGTGTACAATTTACTCAACTCATTGATGTACAAACTATTAAGTCAGTAGCCATCTTTATCAAACACATTTTCTTTGTTCTTAATTTAGCAAATGTCCTGTCAGTCATGTGACTACCAATTTTATTTTGTTCATTGAAATGTTCTCTGGGCTACAAAGGCCAATACTCAATAAACACGTCTGTCTGTCATACTGACTCTTATGTTGTAACAAAACAGTGTGGACTTTTGTTTTCCTACAAATACTGTTTAAATAAGATTGTAAGATTTTGTCCACGAGTCTTCCTGATTGTCACTCCCACTGTTAACTTCAGAGTATATCTGGGCGGTCGGGTAGCCTAGTGGTTAAAGCGTTCGCTCGTTACGCCGAAGACCCGGGTTCGATTCCTGACATGGGTACAATGTGTGAAGCCCATTTCTGGTGTCCCCCGCCGTGATATTGCTGGAATATTGCTAAATGCGGCGTAAAACCGTACTCACTCACTCAGAGTATATGATAACTATGCCTACTTGATCAAACCAATGGCCCTTATTCAAGTTAGAAAAGATTTTGGGGGGGATATCATATGTCTTGATTCCAGGTTTCAAATACCAAAGTGATTATCTTTTAATATTTCTTTTGAGCTATGATGGTGTACCTTTTAATTTGTGTCAATTTTCTCAGTAATTTATACAGCACCTTATCTTATAAATACATATCATTGATATATTTTCTACAGCATATTTTATCAAACCTGTATTTAACGTATTCTCGTATCTTGGTGTGCTAAAACTCTCTTTGTGATATGTCATACTGATCTAATCCTGGTTATTCCGATGTGTGTTGAAGTGTAGACCTGGTTACTAGGGCATGTTTGTCTTCTGTCAGGCGGCATGCCAGAAATTGCACAGGCAGCAGGACCTGGAGTTGGAGCTGGAGCTAAACCAAAGTATGCTGAGGTTGGACGCACACGCAAGTTCTTCCCTGAGGCCTGGCTTTGGAAGAATGGGACGTTAAGGTAAGTTTTGCTTACTCATTGTTATTTTATCCCACAGCAGGGTTCCTGGGTCCCACAAGGACATATCTTTTCTCATTGCCCCTCCCACGGATAACTTTCCTGATACTGTTGTTTCGCTTAATGGCTTCCATATATTTCACTAGTTTCAATGCAAAAACAGAAATATCATATAAACAAATCTGTACTGAATTATGCAAGGTAATCCTGTTATAACACTTATTTTTAAACTTATCCTATCACACACTTTACATTTCTTCCTTCTTCTTTCAATCCTTTTGTGGAAACGTCCTAAAACATATTTTCCAGCTTCTAAAACATTTCGCCCAAACACATCTCACATTACTAGTCACTAGTCACTAGTAGAAAGTCACTTTGCCTCCACGTGACAGAACAGTTCTACCTGAAGAAGTCATCTCGTATTCTACAACTGCCACCCAGGTTCCACAGGTAATATGAACCCCGGCTCTTTACACATGATCTCCTCATTGCCTACAGGAGAAAGGAAGAGTAGAGAATGTTCTTGAACCTCTGAAGGAGACCAACTTTTCCACTCTAGAGACCGACAGGAGAAGTCGCATTGATCGACAATTGTGGGATTGACAGCTCGCAAAGCGACACAAGTGTCAACATTCGCAGACTCCCAAGGTTCGACATTTCAGAGATTGATGTTAGAATGCTACCGCAATACGCCACCACAAGATCAGAAAGGATCGACTTTCGACCCTCTTCTCTTCCTCGTTCTACATCCCTGGGTGACAAGCATCTGGACCATCTCCCACAGCAGATCGTCTTCTCCGTCACCTGCACTTGCACCTTGACCTCCTTCCAGCTAGTACAGTTTCAACCCTACCCTTACTGACTTCATGGGATCATTGAGATCAGCCTTCCCTATCGACCTCGGACTTTGAATTGCTTCTACAGCCCTTGACTGCGGCCTTCCACCAATGCACTGGGCAGTCGACAACACCTCCTGCCGTTGGCACTCAGACAACCTTTCTACCTCTGACAGTGGCAGCAACTACTTGGTCTTCTGAGGGGCCAACAGCTACATCCATTTCAGTGTTTTCTGAAGCCATATCTACAGGACAAAAACTGCAGGACCCATCCCTAAACATCTCCCGGTGTCACTGCACCATCATCTGCAGTGTCGGAGTTGAATGTCTGCGACGGAATCACCAGTGACAGGGCACTGGTCCATAGAAGATACGACTCTCCACCTCAACTACCTAGAGTTCAAGGCAGTATCCCATTGAGCGGAAGTTCTCCATTCATCACACCTCATGATCCAGTCGGACAATATCTCAGTCATCTGATATGTCCCTTCTGTCTCTAGCGATGGAGTTCATCCAGTTGGTTGACTCTCTGGGCATTCGAGTCTGAGCAAGACACATTCTTGGGGATCAACAACATCATAGCAGACTCTCTATCCCGACCAGATCAACCATCCCCATCAGAGTGACCTCTACATCTGATGATCTTGTAGTATATTTGCCGCCTCTACTCTTGTCCAGACATCGACCTCTTCACCACCCAATCAGACACTCAACTACCAAGGTTTGTCTCTCCCATACCAGACCAGGAGGCATAGCCATATCGTGGAGGAAGCTCTGGGCGTGTACTTCAAATGGTTGCAACCAAAGCAAAGCTACATTTGTTTTTGATCATGCCTTATTGGCCAGCTCGCTGTCGGTTCCGTTTTGGTAAACATCACAAATGGAAAACACCATCCACTTCCGTTTCGCAGGGACCTTCTTCTCCAGCCTCCCATCTGCTGCACCTGTCGCCAGAAACCCTCCATATATGTGTCTGGTTCATCTCCAGAAGTCCCTAATGGCCAAGAGGTATTCAAGACTAGTATCTAAGAACATCACCAAAGCTCATCGCACCTTCACTAAGGCACTAAACGATCATAAATGAAGGCTTTTGAGAGATATTGTCATGGCTGGGACATCACCTTGCCAAGCACTGCTTTGCCACAACAGGTTTCTGAATATCTCCTGCATCTCAGGTCTATCAGGAAGCTCAAGGGTTTTACTTTGGCTACATGTCACAGCTATTAATTTGGTCATCGCTAGCATGACTGGCACGAAGATCTGAGTTGGCCTGAACTCCAAGCCCTCATCCGCTCTTACAAGCTTGCTGACTAATTGTCTAGGTATTGCCCACTCTAGCATCAGCTTCTAGGGTCAGTGAGATTCATGCACTGGACATTAATAGAGTTTGTTTCGAAAGGCAGAGTCATGGTAAGGTTCATCTTGGTTTCCGTTCAGACTTCATCACGAGAATCAGCTTCCAGGTCCACCAGAAAAGCTGTTTATTATCCCGTCCCTGGCATCCATTCTAAATCTGGAAGATCGTGAAGACATTGTGCCCAGTCTGAGTGCTCCATATCCACCTCAAAGCTTCGTCAACACTCCATCGATCAAGAAAGAGGCTGTTCATTCCATTATCCAAGGCAACCAACTTAGAAGCCTGCCAGTCTCCTTCTGGTTATGATCGACGATCATACGTGCCTACACTTTTGCCGGCTTGCCTCCCCCTATGACGTTTAATTCTCTCGAGAAAAGAACTGTCACCTCCACGATGGTGCTGCACAGTAACTGCACCCTCAACGCAACCATGGAAGGATGTGTGAGATAGAATAAGTATAAAAATTTAAAATTTTACATTAAATTGTATGTTTCTATGCTTGTCCTATATCAAATTATATGCCCACCTATCCATCCCCCCATCACAGTAACACTAGTGTGAACCGCCTCCGTGTTCTAGTGGTAGAGCGTCCGCCCGGAGAGCGGAAGGTCCAGGGTTCGATCCCCGACCGCGTCATACCAAAAGACGTTAAAAGATGGTACTTGTTGTTACCCTGTCTGGCACTCGTCATTAAGGGGCTAAAACAAGGACTGGTCGGCTCGGAGTCAGTATACTGTGTCTGAGTGGGGTATTCATGTTAAACTGCAGGATGGTATCTCAGTGAGCTAGCACTCTAAATCGGCATCAGTCCAGACTAGTACAAGCAGCCACACAAACACGCACACGTACATACACGTCGTTATACAAGTCGTTATACAAGTGCAATAATCTTGGACGCAATGTTAAAGCCCATTTCACCTCATCTAACACTCGTATGCCAGCTCTAAGAAGAATGATGTGGCATACGGTGTCAGGTGGTCAAACCGCTTATGTCACAATGCACAGGAATGTAGTACATGACCCACTTGTTTGGGTGGTGACTATGGTGATGCGATGGGTGTCCGGGCGAAATGTGTTTAGAAGCTGGAAACTATGTTTTAAGGCGTTTCTACACAAGGATCAAAAGAAGGAGGAAGAAATCCATAGTGTGAGACAGTTTTTGGAAATATATCTGACTCGAAATGCCATGTACACGGAATACAATGGAACCCTCCTTATCCAAACACTTGAATTTCTCAAGGGATTGTCTAAACCCTCCTTATCCAAACACTTGAATTTCTCAAAGAATTGTCTAGATAAACAAATTTCCACACATATGTGAATCACATAGTACACTGACCATGGTTACCTCCCTACATAATTGAAACAAACTATATAACAAAATGCACTCTTCGATATACCTTTCTATCATTCCAAATTCATCTTAATCCACTGTCATCTAATGCTCCAGCCCCTATGGTGTTGGTTGCATGTGATGACCCACTCAACGAACATCACGTATTGACACTGTCCAGTAAGTGGAGCATTATGGTGTGCAATTTTAATTTATTAGTAAAGTCGCAGTCCACTTCCAGAAACCAGATTTCCAGAGAAATGAAGCCTTTCAAATAGTCATTGTTCATAAAGTCGTACTGTAGCTGGGATTTCTACATAAACTGGGTCTGGACAAATGAGGTTTCTTTGCATATGATTGTTTTTCAATGAGATAAACAAAAATGTGTTTATGTATGACATCTTTTTCAGTGATCCTGGTACAGTAACTATCTCTGAGACGGTGCCTGACACAATCACGACATGGGTGGCAACAGCTTTTGCTATCAGTCCTGAGAAGGGGCTCAGTATCACCTCACAAAGCTCCAAGGTAAGCATAGATGCTCAGTATCACCTCGAAAAGCTCCATTGTAAGCATAGATGCTCAGTATCACCTTGCAAAGCTCCATTGTAAGCATAGATGCTCAGTATCACCTCACAAAGCTCCAAGGTAAGCATAGATGCTCAGTATCACCTCGAAAAGCTCCATTGTAAGCATAGATGCTCAGTATCACCTTGCAAAGCTCCATTGTAAGCATAGATGCTCAGTATCACCTCACAAAGCTCCATTGTAAGCATAGATGCTCAGTATCACCTCACAAAGCTCCAAGTTAAGCATAGATGCTCAGTATCACCTCACAAAGCTCCATTGTAAGCATAGATGCTCAGTATCACCTCACAAGGCTCCATTGTAAGCATCAATGCTCTGTATCACCTCACAAAGCTCCATTGTAAGCATAGATGCTCAGTATCACCTCACAAAGCTCCATTGTAAGCATAGATGCTCAGTATCACCTCACAAAGCTCCATTGTAAGCATAGATGCTCAGTATCACCTCGCAAAGGTCCAAGTTAAGCATAGATGCTCTGTATCACCTCACAAAGCTCCATTGTAAGCATCAATGCTCTGTATCACCTCACAAAGCTCCAAGGTAAGCATAGATGCTCAGTATCACCTCACAAAGCTCCATTGTAAGCATAGATGCTCAGTATCACCTAACAAAGCTCCAAGTTAAGCATAGAGCCTCTGTATCACCTCACAAAGCTCCAAGGTAAGCATAGATGCTCTGTATCACCTCACAAAGCTCCATTGTAAGCATAGATGCTCAGTATCACCTCATAAAGCTCCATTGTAAGCATAGATGCTCTGTATCACCTCACAAAGCTCCATTGTAAGCATAGATGCTCAGTATCACCTCACAAAGCTCCAAGGTAAGCATAGATGCTCAGTATCACCTCAAAAAGCTCCATTGTAAGCATAGATGCTCAGTATCACCTTGCAAAGCTCCATTGTAAGCATAGATGCTCAGTATCACCTCACAAAGCTCCATTGTAAGCATAGATGCTCTGTATCACCTCACAAAGCTCCATTGTAAGCATCAATGCTCTGTATCACCTCACAAAGCTCCAAGGTAAGCATAGATGCTCAGTATCACCTCACAAAGCTCCACTGTAAGCATCAATGCTCTGTATCACCTCACAAAGCTCCATTGTAAGCATAGATGCTCAGTATCACCTCACAAAGCTCCAAGGTAAGCATAGATGCTCAGTATCACCTAACAAAGCTCCAAGGTAAGCATAGATGCTCAGTATCACCTCACAAAGCTCCATTGTAAGCATAGATGCTCTGTATCACCTCACAAAGCTCCATTGTAAGCATAGATGCTCAGTATCACCTCACAAAGCTCCATTGTAAGCATAGATGCTCTGTATCACCTCACAAAGCTCCATTGTAAGCATAGATGCTCAGTATCACCTCACAAAGCTCCATTGTAAGCATAGATGCTCTGTATCACCTCACAAAGCTCCTTTGTAAGCATAGATGCTCAGTATCACCTCACAAAGCTCCATTGTAAGCATAGATGCTCAGTATCACCTCACAAAGGTCCAAGTTAAGCATAGATGCTCTGTATCACCTCACAAAGCTCCATTGTAAGCATCAATGCTCTGTATCACCTCACAAAGCTCCAAGGTAAGCATAGATGCTCTGTATCACCTCACAAAGCTCCATTGTAAGCATAGATGCTCAGTATCACCTCACAAAGCTCCAAGGTAAGCATAGATGCTCAGTATCACCATGAAAAGCTCCATTGTAAGCATAGATGCTCAGTATCACCTTGCAAAGCTCCATTGTAAGCATAGATGCTCAGTATCACCCCACAAAGCTCCATTGTAAGCATAGATGCTCAGTATCACCTCACAAAGGTCCAAGTTAAGCATAGATGCTCTGTATCACCTCACAAAGCTCCATTCTAAGCATAGATGCTCAGTATCACCTCACAAAGCTCCATTGTAAGCATCAATGCTCTGTATCACCTCACAAAGCTCCATTGTAAGCATAGATGCTCAGTATCACCTCACAAAGCTCCATTGTAAGCATAGATGCTCTGTATCACCTCACAAAGCTCCATTGTAAGCATAGATGCTCAGTATCACCTCACAAAGCTCCATTGTAAGCATAGATGCTCTGTATCACCTCACAAAGCTCCATTGTAAGCATAGATGCTCAGTATCACCTCACAAAGCTCCATTGTAAGCATAGATGCTCAGTATCACCTCACAAAGCTCCATTGTAAGCATAGATGCTCTGTATCACCTCACAAAGCTCCAAGGTAAGCATCAATGCTCAGTATCACCTTGCAAAGCTCCATTGTAAGCATAGATGCTCTGTATCACCTCACAAAGCTCCAAGGTAAGCATAGATGCTCAGTATCACCTTGCAAAGCTCCATTGTAAGCATAGATGCTCTGTATCACCTCACAAAGCTCCTTTGTAAGCATAGATGCTCAGTATCACCTCACAAAGCTCCATTGTAAGCATAGATGCTCTGTATCACCTCACAAAGCTCCAAGGTAAGCATAGATGCTCAGTATCACCTTGCAAAGCTCCATTGTAAGCATAGATGCTCAGTATCACCTTGCAAAGCTCCTTTGTAAGCATAGATGCTCAGTATCACCTCACAAAGCTCCATTGTAAGCATAGATGCTAAGTATCACCTCACAAAGCTCCATTCTAAGCATAGATGCTCAGTATCACCTCGCAAAGCTCCATTGTAAGCATAGATGCTGTCCGATGTGCTGGGCTGCATGACTAATGTAACATAACATTTACCCACTTGCACTGATAGCCAAACTACTCAGAGAACAGACAAATACCTTAAGAAATATCAGTAATCTGACATGTATGGTGCATGAACAGCTAGTTTCCCCGAAGAATATCTGGGTTAGAATTAGTCTTCAGCTGCCAATGCTTGTGACAAGAGGCGACTTTTGGGATCAGAAGATCAAGCTTGCTGACTTGGATGATATATGTCATTGAATCATATTGCATAGATTATGCTCATAGTGTCAATCACTGGATTGTCTGGATATGTTTCCTGGTAATAGTTACTGTACAACATTAGATATTCTGAAACATATTCCCCCTATTGCCAATATGTGGTAGATTAAACTGGCAATCAGGCATTCTCAGTTGGACTAATCTTTGTGATAAATCTATATTTCAGATAAAAACATTCCAGCCATTCTTTGTGTCTGTGGCTCTGCCATATGCAATGAAGAAAGGTGAGAACTTCCAGATGAGGGTGACCATCTTCAACTACATGAACCAGAGCACTCCAGTAAGTAGGCTGTTCTAGCAGACCTCCCAGAGGTATTTCTTCCATTTGGGAGTCAAAATATTCCTCATTGATGTAACCCTATGTGCTTTAACATAACTGTAACTGATAATATTGATCAACCCAAATTTTCCTTCCTTAATGGATTTACAAATACTTCCTAATTTGAACTGATCTGGATTGTTATTCAAAAGGAAATAATACTTTGTGTAATATCATGCTTTAAAGAAATGATTCCAGAGGGTCTGGTAACACTCCCACAAATAATTCAATTTGGAAATGAATAAGGATTTTATAAGGGGAGTTAGTATTCTTTCATCCATGTATTCACAATTTGTTGAAATTCATATAATTTTACTTATGGATGACAGTGAAGGTGTACGAGCACGTTCCTCAAGTTTCTCCATTTACCAATGGTCCAAGATGCCTTCTTGTTTTACTGACTTGTCACTTGTCAACAATTTGCTCAATTGACTCATTTATTATGACATCATTTAACATTCATACCAGAAGAATTTATCAATCAACCTTCATATTATTTCTGTGGTATGAGTACTTGAACATTCTTAACATCTTATGTTGACAGGATGTAGACACTCTTGATCAGATGATGTAGACACTCTTGATCAGATGATGTAGACACTCTTGATCAGATGATGTAGACACTCTTGATCAGGGGATGTAGACTCTCTTGATCAGATGATGTAGACACTCTTGATCAGATGATGTAGACACTCTTGATCAGGGGATGTAGACACTCTTGATCAGATGATGTAGACACTCTTGATCAGATGATGTAGACACTCTTGATCAGGGGATGTAGACACTCTTGATCAGATGATGTAGACACTCTTGATCAGGGGATGTAGACACTCTTGATCAGATGATGTACAGACTTTTGATCAGGAACGTTACAATGAAACACTTAAGTCCATACATTTGTAGCTTTTCTCTTGATCATGTATGTAATAAGTTAAATGACAATCTCATCTTATTCAGGTGAAAGTTACCCTGAAGAAATCAGATGACTTTGGAGTGGTTGAGTCCGTTGGAGGAGTAGAATCTGCAGTATCTAAGGAAGTTGTGACAGAAGTTCAGGTAACATGGCCGGGTCTTTTCTGTATGCCAAAGGACATTACATGATTGTACTTGTTCTTACCCTGCCAGATTTTTACAAAAAATAATATACCATCCCCAACAGGTTTTTACAAGAGGCATCACTTGGGTGAGATCCTACAAACTATCGCTACAATGAAATTGTATCACAATACTTTGCAGAACATTTTAACGTCATCGGTTACAATGACATCACAATCAAATTACATGACTGATCTATCTGTCACTGAGGCAGGTGAGCACTGTTTTTCACACAAATTGAAAAAGTTGGAAGAATGACTTTGGATGATAAATAGAATCCTACCCATGTGTATTTTAATATCTAATATATAAGCACTCGTCAAGCCTCTTCAGATTTTTCAACTTTTAACTTGTGTTGATATAGTTGATATAAAAAAACACAAGGTGTGACATTCTCTTTTTGTCATGGAATTAGTTTTCCTCTGATCTTAAGCTGGGAATTCCTATGCTTCCAGGTCGAAAAGAATGTCCCAAAGGGCGTCGTCTTCTGGATTTCTGCCAAGAAACTTGGTCCAATCAAAATAAGTCTGGTGGCGCAGCCCGATGCTTCAACTGGAGAGAAAGGGGACAGCATTGTGAAGGTCGTGGAGGTCAAGGTATTATCACCAGCTTACTTTTGTGTACACCAGCTCCCATACAGATCCGTGTGAGTGAGTTTGGTTTTACGCCATGTTAAGCAATATTCCAGCAATATCACGGCGGGGGACACCAGAAATGGGCTTCATGTCGTACCCATGTCGGGATCGAACCTGGGTCTTTAACCACACTTTAACCACAAGGCTACCCGGCCTCCCCAATCCGGGCTGGAATTAGCCTTTTTAATAGTAAGAGGCATCTAACAGGGTCCTGTGGCTCACTGACATAGTTGATAGATGACATTGGTTGATGAATGCATCAAAATTGCATGGATCGATGCTCATGATGTCCCTCACTGGATTGTCTGGTCCAGACTCGATTGTTTACAGACCACCCTCATATAGCTGGAATATTCCTGTGTGCAGTGATAAACAACTAACAAACAAGCAAACAAATCTTTGATTGACATAACAAAAAAGCCAGTCCTTCTCCGAAACATTGATGCGAATATATGCAGTAAGTGACCACTGTCACTGTGGCTAATGGGTAATATGTGACTACCTTCTGAAGGCATTCAGGGTGGGAATAGCCTGGTGGTTAAAGTTCTAGCTTGTCACACTGAAGGTCCGAGTTTGATTTCCCACAATGATTTCTCTCAATATATAATTGTTAACATCTTAAAAATTACAATTACTTTGAACACCATATCTCTTTTCCACCCTCGTAGCCCTAAAATCCTTTTAGCTGTCAATCACACTATAAAATTTTCGACAGATGTCTTCTTATGATGTAACACAATCTCATTAAAATCAGATCTAAGTTCTCGCTACGGCTAAACAAAGATCTGAGGACATCCCATTACGGGTCACGTCAGACCGACCTGGTGGGAACTTTCACCAACCAATGGAATAACCAATCAGAAGGCAGCTTTCTTGTGCTTTACGGCACTAATTTCAAATTAGCAACTACGCTTCGAAACATATTTTGACAAATTCTCAATTACAAATTTGAAACCTGAACAAAAGAACATTCTGGAATGGCTAATAGTCTAGATTGTATTGATTCAGTCGTTAAACCTGTTACTATCGTTTGGAATACCCTGTGTTAACGTTTTCGAGGTTGCATGATTATAAATCACATTCCAACTGTCACTTTCTTAATCTGGTGAGCGACGCTCTGATTGGTCGGATGAAAGGTCGTTCTGATGTGACCCCTAATGGGATGTCTTCAGATCTTTGTTTAGCAGTAGTGAGAACTAAGATCTGATTTTAATGAGATTAGATGTGACAGAGGTAGTATTCTTAGAATTACACACAACATAACTATTGTTTGACATTATGACATATAGCTGGAATACTGTAAAAAGTGGCTAAAATACAACTCACTCTAAAAGCAATAAGTTTGTTTGTTTGTGTGTTTGCTTATTTGTTTGTTTGTTTGTTGTTTAACGCTGCACTCAACAATATACCAGCTATATGACGGCAGTCAGTAAATAATCGAGTCTGGACCAGACAATCCAGTGATCGACACCATGAGTATTGATCCACGCAATTGGGATACGATGACATGCATCAACCAATATCAGCGAGCCTGACCACCCAATCCTGTGACTCACCTCTAACGACAAGCATATTCGTCTTTTATATCAAGCATGGGTTGCTGAAGACCTATTCTACCCCAGATCTTCACTGGTGGAAAGCAATATGTAGACCAGTAGATGTAGATCTCTGTTTGGTCGATTACAAGGTGCTATGTGGCCATGATTTATATCAATAAACCATGGAACCTAATCCCCCACGAACAGAAGTGTTGGTGCAACCTGGTGGGTAAAGCGTTCACTTCACATCAGTGGCTGTCATTTGATTCTCCTCCCTGGTACAAAGTGTGAAACCTTTTAATTAATGGTGCCCCCCATCATGGGCGTCTCTAAAACATGGCATCACATTTATCTTTCTCATCTGTTCTTCGCAGCCTCCCGGTATTGTACATAGAAAGGTCCAAGGCGAGACTGTGGAACTGGATACTGATACCACGCAATACAACAAAACACTTCTCCTCCCATTCCCAGCAGACGTTGTTGACGGGTCAAAGAGGATAGAGGTCAAGGTCACAGGTGCAGTATATTTATGTTTGTGATATGCTGATTACTTGGATATTCAGATATACTTACTAACAAGAGCTGGGTGATACCGTTTATAAAGCGACCCCATGTATAAGACGACCCCCCCTGTACACGCCTTCAAAATCGACCCAAAATCCTATACTCTGTGTACAAAGCGACCTGGAATGAAGCATATCACAAGTGCGCCCATAAACCTTATATTTGCAATAATAATATGTTTATCTTGCGTTGTTTTTTTCTATGATGGTTGGTCGCGTGCGTAACTCCAACACACGTCGCAATTTTGTGTTTACACAGTGCGACACCAAATTGGTGCCAGTAAAATAAAATTTATGAAGTAATAACATATAAGAGACAATGGTGAGTAATTTAATCGCCAATTAACTATGTTGTAACTAACTAGGCTTATGTTTGCTTCACATTCAGCGTGTATATTCCACAATCACTTGTACACACCATCTCCAACAGTTGTTATTACAACTCTAAAAACCACGGGAATTGATTTCAGCTTCACCGGTTATCACATGTTAGGTCACATGTGCAATATGCGAATGCTTACCGGTACTTCCAGCTCTCTTCTCACAGATGTTGATTGTTTTACCGTGTCAGCTGGCTTGACAATCTGGATCAAGGCGAGTGTCATTTCAAATTTATTTGCAGAAAATATTCAACTTTATTCAAGGAAAACAGATACAAATCATGTTTATGTTTGGAAATAGTTATTGGAACAGTTATTTAGGAAGAAATGCGAAGTTCTGTTGTCAAATGCTGGGCTGGCTATCGAACGCCGGTTGACATCGCCAGTGGAAGCTGAAAGTGAAACAACTGGAAAAAAACATGAGATCTTCGACTCTGTGTCTTAAGCCCCTCATTCTAGGTACGAAAAACTGGTCTTATACACAGTGATATACGGTACATCCACGATTATCCAAGTCTAAAAAATATAATAGTCTTGGCTCTCAGGCACCACCCACATCATCATTAAGTCCGCCGCACGTTTCGTTTTGTTTCCATTTCTTGAATATTCTGCATCTTGAACACAGGACCCTAGCTGTGTAATACCACAATACTTAAAAACAATGCAATCCAATATAGCGTGCAGTTACTTGCCTTTTCATGCACACTGCTTTACTGCGCATCTCAGGTTGTGGTCATGGCAACAATAGGAGTTTGTGTGCTTGTTTTGCCGCTTGCAAATTTGGTCAACGAAAACATGAAATTTACAATAAAACATCAGTAGTCGGGGTGATTTACAAATTCAAAATTTCAAAATTTACTGTATGCTTGACAATGTTTCATACGCAGAGATTATGATTACATGTGTATTTGTCTCGTAAAATAAGCTGGAAATAGCAATCAGCTGTTAATACATATTTTTCCCTATCTGTGTGTGATTTAGTTTAAAAATACTTAATGTCATGGCCAATATCATTACTGAAAGACAATACAGTGATAGGAAGACCAAAGACGACTAATGGGGGCACGGTTGGCGATTCGCTATGCAGAGTTGTGTCCCTTAGGCACGCCAGAAACCTATGATTGTGGGTTCGAATCCCGGTTCGCCCCGATTATGTTTCTAGGTTTAATTGTCAGCATCATACCCGTGCTCGTGGGTTTCACTGAAGTGGTAAACGTCAGAGACCTGCATCACTTCGGGCTTTCCTCCCACCGAAGTGGTAAACGTCTGAGACCTGCATCACTTCGGGCTTTCCTCCCACATTAAGCTGACACGTCGCGATATAACTGGAATACTGTTAAAAGCGGCGTTGAACCCAACTCACTCACTCACTCACTCACTCACTCACTCTAGCGACTAATGTTCGTTTCAAGGCGAGTTCATGGTGAATTGAAGTGATTTGCTGATAGGTTCATAAACGATTTTGCTGAAATTAATGTAAACAAAAGTGAATTAAATCTTGGATAAAAGTAATATAATTGATTACAAACCTAAGTCCAGATACACAATGAACACATTTTATCGCCACATAGTGTAATAAATAACAGGACTAACTTGCGTACTTCTGTACTGGGGCTGGGACTGGTAACTTGGATACTCGGGTCGGGTTGGTACTGAGTTGGACCCGGGTACCCACAAGACTACCCGGACCCGTGGTTAGTCCCGTGTTATATTGTTTAATGATAAAAAATATCTATAACTCTCTGGTTACACTACAAATCACTGATGTTCATATTTCTTTCTGACTAAGCACCATTGCTTCTGACCTTTATAGGTTTGAATAAGAATGACACTTCAGTCAACTTCAGTGTATGCATGACCAGATCGTTTTATACATATATTTAAATACGTTTTACCAGGGCTACGCTCAAACTATTTCCATTCGGACATTTTGTACCCAACTCTTGAGACCTGTGGCGGTACCCGTTTAGGGTCGGTTAATAGTGTGGTGGGTATCCGGGTAGTAAATTTGGACTTGTCCCAGCCCTATTCTGTACTGATTTGTTGACATGCTTCTTCCGGTGGTGTGTACTCACGATAACGTTGCATTGTGAAATATAATCTGTGGAGATGGTGGACAACCAGACTCGACCCAGACTTTGATATGTGCATATGTAAATGCCTGACAGGTGATGTAAATGTCTGATAGGGATGCAAATGTTTGACAGGTGATGTGAATGTTTGACAGGGATGTAAATGTTTGACAGGTGATGTGAATGTTGGACAGATGATGTAAATGTTTGAGAAATGATGTAATTATTTGAAATGGGATGTAAATGTTTGAGGGGGATGTCATGTTGGACATGTGATGTAAATGTTTGACAGGTGATGTGAATGTTTGACAGACGATGTAAATGTTTGAGAAATGATGTAATTATTTGAAATGGGATGTAAATGTTTGCGGGGGATGTCATGTTTGACATGTGATGTAAATGTTTGACAGGTGATGTAAATGTTTGAGAAATGATGTAATTATTTGAAATGTGATATAAATATTTGACGACTGATGTAAATGTTTGACGACTGATGTAAATGTTTGACAGGTGATGTAAATGTTTGACAAATGATGTAATTATTTGAAATGTGATATAAATGTTTGACGACTGATGTAAATGTTTGACGACTGATGTAAATGTTTGACGACTGATGTAAATGTTTGACAGGTGATGTAAATGTTTGACAAATGATGTAATTATTTGAAATGTGATATAAATGTTTGACGACTGATGTAAATGTTTGACGACTGATGTAAATGTTTGACAGGTGATGTAAATGTTTGACAAATGATTTTATTATTTGAAATGTGTTTGAAATGTGATGTAAATGTTTGACAGGTGATGTAAATGTTTGACAGGGATGTAAATGTTTGACAGGTGATGTAAATGTTTGAGAAATGATGTAATTATTTGAAATGTGATGTAAATGTTTGACAGGTGATGTAAATGTTTGACAGGTGATGTGAATGTTTGACAGGGATGTAAATGTTTGACAGGTTATGTAAATATTTGACAGGTGATGTGATGGGGCCAACAGTGGAAGGGCTGGAGAAGCTGATCAGGATGCCAACAGGGTGTGGAGAACAAAACATGATCACCTTGGTGCCCAATATTGTGGTCTACAAGTACCTGAATGCTGTCAACAGAATGACTAATGAGATTGAGGATAAGGCTGTCAAGAACATGAAGTATGGTAAGTGATTAGTCTTATTTATCTGGTGCATGAATACCAATTCTTTGTCAGGTACACTGCTGCAGAAATTTCCATAAATAATATCAGACCTATAAAAAGATCTTTGTAGGTGACAGTGTAGATGTCCATCATCCAGTATTGAGTGAGTGAGCGAGCAATCGAGTATGGTTTTACACCGCTTTTAGCAATATCACAGTGGGAGACACCAGAAATGGGTTTCACACATTGAACCATGTCAGGAATCAAACCCGGGCCTTCGGCCTGACGAGCAAACACTTTAACCACTAGGCTACCCCACCACTCTCCAGTATTGAGAACAACATGAGTCATTAGCAGTGCCTGGATGCCCAGTGGTCTAAGAACAACACTATACTGGGAAGAGCTGCAGTTGGTAGTTAGCAGTGTCAGTATTCACGATTAGGATCCTTGGTTTGTTACTACGGTAGCCCTGTTGTTGACATTGTCAGACTCTCCTCCCACATTATCTGACACAACTAAAATACTTTGCATATTTCACTGACAGCCTTCCTTGGATCACACTACCTGTCTTTACGTTGTTCAATCTTGTACCAGGTTACCAGCGTGAGCTCACCTACATGAGAGATGATGGTTCCTTCAGCGCCTTTGGACAAAGTGACCCCAGCGGCAGTATCTGGTAAGAACTAGACAACTGTAGCAGTCAATAACGGGTTAATGCCATTTGTTTGTTTATTATTATATGCAGACCTTGGAGCTATGGGAACGTTTTACTTGCTCCCGCGGAAACAGCAGTCAGGAAAAGTTTAAAAAAAGAATGCCGAAAGTGATAGCAAAAGTGAGCATGTTGCTTTAGTAGAAGGAAGTGACGTAGGGCTGAGGAAGTGACGTAGGGCCGAGGAAGTGACGTAGGGCCAAGGAAGTGACGTAGGGCCGAGGAAGTGGCGTAGGGCCGAGGAAGTGGCGTAGGGCCGAGGAAGTGACGTAGGGCCGAGGAAGTGGCGTAGGGCCGAGGAAGTGACGTAGGGCAGAGGAAGTGACGTAGGGACGAGGAAGTGGCGTAGGGCAGAGGAAGTGACGTAGGGCAGAGGAAGTGACGTAGGGCAGAGGAAGTGGCGTAGGGCAGAGGAAGTGGCGTAGGGCAGAGGAAGTGGCGTAGGGCCGAGGAAGTGGCGTAGGGCCGAGGAAATGACGTAGGGCAGAGGAGCGGAAGTGACATAATTACAGGCTGCTGATGAACACGGAAGTAAATGGGGGATTACATGTGCGAGGTGAATTTTGCCTGTTATATGACACGGAAAGTAGAAGTACTTATAGAGTGATTAAATGGTGGGATGTAAAATACATGCTGCCTTTAAACTCATTTAGCGAATTACTGCTATTTGGACAAGGTGACCCCAGCGTCAGTCTCCTGTAGCAGTCAATAATGGGTTAATACTATTTATTTGCTGTTAATGCCACTCCAGGGTTTTCTCAAGACCATCTCAGAGGCTGATATTCAGCCCGAAGTCTGCTGCAAATAATGCTGAGAATTACCAAATTGGAATTAGAAATACCGTAACCCTGTTCATGCTATTCATGCTGTTATTGTTATGACTAATGATAAGGCTTTGTAGAGGTGATGCTGCAAACAGCACCATACAGAGGTGAGGTCCTCTGTGAACACCACCATACAGAGGAGGAGGTTTTAATGCTCAGTTTATCCTCATTGCTATGAATGCAATGTCAAAATTCAATGTTAAAAAACATCTGAATTTGAGGAAAATAAGAACTTTAAAAAGATTAAGTTAAAAAAAAATAAAAAATTACCCAATTTGACTGCCAAGATAGATTCATCTTGGATACATCTGCACATTCAGCAATATTACAGCCATATGATGGCGGTCTGCAAATAATCAAGTCTGGGCTAGACAATCCACTGACTGAATTCATGAGCTTTGATGTATTGGAACCTGTGCCAATAAACTGTGAATATCCGGGTTGCAACTGATCTTCAGCAAACCATGCCTGTCACAAGAGACGACTAACAGGATCGGATGGTAATCCTCGATGACCAGGGTGATGAATGTCATCGTATCCCATTTACGTAGATGCATGCTCATAGAAACAATGATACTATGAGACATAAAACTACACTCACTCACTCACTCACTCACTCACTCACTCACTCACTCACTCACTCACTCACTCACTCACTCACTCACTCACTCACTCACTCACTCACTCACTCACTCACTCACTCACTCACTCACTCTCACTCACTCACTAGGGGTGGTCAGGTAGCCTAGTGGTTAAAGCGTTCGCTCGTCACACCGAAGACCCAGGTTCGATTCCCGTCATGGGTACAATGTGTGAAGCCCATTTCTGGTGTCCCCCGCCGTGATATTGCTGGAATATTGCTAAAAGCAGCATAAAACCATACCCACTCACTTACTCACTCACTCACTCACTCACTCACTCACTCACTCAATGATACACTGAGACATAAAACTACACTCACTCACTCAAGTTCAGCAGACCTGTAGAAGGAACTCTGACGCTTTGTTTTCCAGGCTGACAGCATTTGTGATGAAGTGCTTCTCCCAGGCACGTGGTCAAATCACAGTAGATGGGAAAGTGATGAGTAAAGCGTTTGCTTGGATCAAAACAGGCCAGAACAATGATGGAACGTTCAGAGTCGTGGGCAAAGTCATCCACAAGGAGATGCTGGTGAGTGAGGCAGGGTCAAATCAAATGTTATTGGAAGATATGCTGTTGATGGAATGGAGTCAACTCATGGTATGGCCATCACTGTTAAATTACATGTTTCTCTAGCTCATCTCTCATTGTTAATTCCCCTGCAGATTACTGAATAAACTAACACATGGTTGTATTTGTTCCTTTCTACCGGTATGTAGTAATATATATCAAATTTCAAATTTTTAAAATAAAATAACAATTTGAGAAAACACAGCGAAATATTTTGCCAATTTAAGTGTAGTTATTATTTTAACCATCCCCTAATAATTGTTAATTTTATTCACAACCCTCTCTTTCCCCCTTCTCCTCCCCCAAACCCCCTCCCCTCCCTTATCGGTTTCCTCCTATCACCTAGTTCCTCCATTTTGAGACAATATTCTGATCTTGATGAATGAAATGTAACGTTAACAGAATGGTATTTGATGACAGTGTGTTTTGTTGTAGGGCGGGTCATCAGCCGGCAAGTCTCTCACAGCCTTTATCTACATAGCGCTGAAGGAGAGTGAGAGTTTCCTGGCAGAAACGGTAGGTGGTGTTAGTTGAGATGACCCCATGGGGACTAGATCCCCGCCATCCTCGGCTTGTTGTCACAGGTGACCAACTGGATTGGATGCATGGTCAGGTTCAGGGATGTAGTTGATGGTGTCTCATCGTACCCAGGCAGCATGAGACTTGCGCACAAAATCAATCAGTGGACTCAATTATTTGCCTGCTGATGTCATATAGCTGGAAAATTGCTGAGTATGGCGTTACACAACAACGATACATAAACAGTTGAGACTGAGGCATAAGCAGGAACTCATCTTTTATGAACTCTATTTCTGGAATTGGTCACAGTATTGTCATCTGATCTGATTGTTATAGGACAGGCATCTTTTATTGTGTGGCCCATTATTCAGGGGCAGTTTGAATGGCTCATGGTTAATAAGTACACATCTTGTTGTCCATATTATGTCTGTACATATTTATAATGTCGTATTCCTGTGTTCGTATTCTGGGGCTGTTGTTTGTTTGTTGCTTAACACCGCACTCAGCAATATTCCAGCCTATATGACAGCAGTCTGTAAATAATCGAGTCTGGACCAGACAATCCAGTGATCATCATAAGCATCGATCCACGCAATTGGGATCGATGACATGCCTCAACCAAGTCAGGGAGCTTGAACACCCGATCCCGTTAGTAGCCTCCTACGACAAAAATAGTTGCCTTTTACGGCAAGCATGGGTTGCTGAAGACCTACTCTACCCCAGATCTTCACGGGTCTCTTTTGGTGGTTGGGTGGCTTAGTGTTAATGTGTTTGCTTGTCACACTGTAGGCCTGGGTTCAATTCCCTACATGGGTACAATGGGTGAAACCCCATATAGTCCCCTGCAGTGATATTGCTGGAAGTTGTGTCAAACCATTCTAATTCATCATGCGTACCTGTTGTTCTAGGACAAATCTTCCCTGACCAAGGCTGTCAGCTACCTGGAAGGCCTGGTCAACAAGAACGAGCTGACGACCACGTACGAGATGGCCATTGTAGCGTATGCTCTGAAGCTTGCTGGCAGTAGTCTTGCAGATGGAGTGCTGCAGAAACTGGAAGGTACCGTGTTTCTTTTCAAATATTCAACTCTGGTAGTCATCATCAGTATTTGTGACCCACCAGGAGAAAAGGGACCTTATGGTGCTGTGCTGGGATGCCATACAGATGTTTGACAACCACTTACTTCAGTGTGCTATGTGTGATGTCAGGTATCTCTGTAATAGAAGCGTCTAAATTGTATTTTTGTGTTCTGAAGATGCTTTAGTTTTAAAATATAATGAAAAGTCAATGTGATTTTACACCCATGAGGTCCGTATCTCATGGTCACATATGTCTACGAATAATACCATGAGTGAAGCATGTGTTGAGTTTGTGGTTATTCAGCCTGGATATATGATTGACTGCCAACTTGAACATGAAAACAGCATTAAGCCTCATCGATTCACTCGCTCTTGGTGTTTCACAATTTCAGGCCGTACAAAGCCATGGGAGAAGACGGTTGAGCCTGTGAATTCTGGTGATGAAAAGGTAGCCCGTCACATGATGTACCGCCCCCCAGACGCCAGTGCCAGTGACATCGAGACCTGGTCATACGTTCTTCTGGCCTACGCTCACGGACAGGATATTGCCCTGGGCAGACCCATCATGAAGTGGCTCCTGACTCAGCAGAATGGCCAAGGAGGATTCCGCTCAACTCAGGTGCGGACAGATGGTGTGCCCAGTATGATCGTAACATGGCTGTTTGTGTGCGAGTTGTAACTGATGCAGGTCTATTTATGTCCCAAATATGATTGACACAGGTATATCTGTGTGTCAAGTATGATTAATGCAGGACTGTTTATATGCCAAATATCATTGACACAGGTATATCTGTTTGTCAAGTATGATTGATGCAGGACTATTTATACACCAAATATGATTGACACAGGTATATCTGTGTGCCAGTTATAACTGATGCAGGTCCATCTATGTGCCAAATATGAATCATGCAGGGCTATATGTGTGCCCAGTATGATTGGTAGAGATCTATATGTATGCCTCAATGATTGGTAGAGATCTATTTGTATGCCCAGTATGATTGGTAGAGATCTATTTGTATGCCTCGATAATTGGTAGAGATCTATTTGTATGCCTCGATGATTGGTAGAGATCTATTTGTATGCCTCGATGATTGGTAGAGATCTATTTGTATGCCCAGTATGATTGGTAGAGATCTATTTGTATGCCTCGATGATTGGTAGACATCTATTTGTATGCCCAGTATGATTGGTAGAGATCTATTTGTATGCCCAGTATGATTGGTAGAGATCTATTTGTATGCCCAGTGTGATTGGTAGAGATCTATTTGTATGCCCAGTATGATTGGTAGAGATCTATTTGTATGTCATGATGATTGGTAGAGATCTATTTGTATGCCCAGTATGATTGGTAGAGATCTTTTTGTATGCCCAGTATGATTGGTAGAGATCTATTTATATGCCTCGATGATTGGTAGAGATCTATTAGTATGCCAAGTATGATCGGTATAGATCTATTTGTATGTCTAGTATGATTGGTAGAGATCTATTTGTATGCCCAGTATGATTGGTAGAGGTCTATTAGTATGCCCAGTATGATTGGTAGAGATCTATTAGTATGCCTAGTACGATTGGTAGAGATCTATTTGTATGCCTCGATGATTGGTAAAGATCTATTTGTATGCCCAGTATGATTGGTAGAGATCTTTTTGTATGCCCAGTATGATTGGTAGAGATCTATTTATATGCCTCGATGATTGGTAGAGATCTATTAGTATGCCAAGTATGATTGGTATAGATCTATTTGTATGTCTAGTATGATTGGTAGAGATCTATTTGTATGCCCAGTATGATTGGTAGAGGTCTATTAGTATGCCCAGTATGATTGGTAGAGATCTATTTGTATTCCCAGTGTGATTGGTAGAGATCTATTTGTGTGCCAATTATGGTTGATGAAAGTCTGTCTGAACAGGAAGGCTCTTTTCCATTTGAGAAAGATGATTTTTGCGAGTGTGATACAGATCTACTCAGGTGGGACATTTTGATATTGGGGAAGGATTGCTGCAGGTCAGGGGGAACTGTTGAGTCGGACACTATTGAATGTTGTTTAAGGCTGCACTCAGCAATATTCCAGCAATATCTCTAAATAATCAAGTCTGGACCGGACAATCCGGTGATTGACATCAGGAGCATCAATCCACATAACAATAACATGCATCAATTAAGTCAGTGAGCCTGGCCACCTGATCCTGTTAGTCGCCTCTTACGACAAAACAGTTGCTGAAGACCTATTCTGACCTGGATCTTCACGGGTGTCAGGCAAAATATGAGATCGATACAGCTCATTACTGGTGCATGATATATATATGATTGCAAGTGATCTGCATAATTATTATTGAATCTTTATTATTTCTATTGTTGCTAAATGATTAATACGATTATTGTGTCCCTGGAGCTGCTCAACTGTGATGTTTGAAAACAGTGAAGTCAGTGTCATCATTTTTCTTGACTGCATCACCTGTCAGTGTTCTACAGTGCTATGATGCAGCTCAGATAAGGAAATTATCTTATCTTAATAGGACACAGTGCTCGGACTGCAAGCCCTGGCAGAGTATGCAGCCCTGGTGTACACGTCCCCTCAGACTGACATCACACTGATGGTCAAGGCCAACACTCCGTCCGGCATCCAGACCGAGACTCTCCTGGTCAAGAAGAATAAACTGTTGTGGCTGCAGTCCTATGTGGTCAGTGTCACTCCCGTAATCCATGAAACAATACAACAACATCACAATATGATACGTATCACAATACATAGGTCACGATACGATATGGTCACGATACGGTCATGATACGATATGGTCACGATACGGTCACGATACGATATGGTCACGATACGATACGATACGGTCACGATACGATATGTATATATATCTTTTCCTTAATGCATTTAAACATTAATGGCCCTGAATGTAAGCTATTCTACTTGTGTTTACAGGACATTTTCTGAAGATGACACCTGTGTTATAGCATGTTATGCTTCAGAATGAAACTGCTGACAAAATCAGTGTTGTTTCTCTGCTTTAGTTGCTTATTTATATATATGTGATGAAGTTATTCTGATGAAGGGGCATGAAGCCTGGAAACTCTATAACAAACAATAGGGAAGCTGTTATGTGTTTGGGGGGCACGGGTGGCCCAGTTGTCTAAGGCGCTGCAATTCGCTGTGCAGAGTTGCGTCCCTTGGTAACGCCCGAAACCTATGATTGTGGGTTCGAATCCAGGTTCGCCCCAATTATGTTTCTAGGTTTGTCAGCACCATACCCGTGCTCGTGGGTTTCACCGAAGTGGTAAACGTCTGAAACCTGCATCACTTCGGGCTTTCCTCCCACATTAAGCTGACGCGCCGCGATATGACTGGAATACTTTTAAAAGCGGCGTTAAACCCAACTCACTCACTCACTCACTGTTATGTGTATGAGTGAGTGAGTTAAACTTGAACGTCGCATCGGCATTATTTCAGCCATATAGCGACGAGTTATGTGTTTGTAGTTCCATGTTAGTGCAGTGCAGTGCAAATAACATGTTCAAGAAGAGAATTGAATACTGTTTTGCCTTTATGTGCACACTTTGTAGACCTGCAGAGTAGATTCCCATAAAGATTATACTACATTTTGTACTTTTATACTGACAAAACCACGAAAAAGTATTGAAGTTGCAAAAATATGTTAGATTGATTCTTATATTTAAAAAAGTCATCAATAATAAATTCACAGATGGTTTATTTCATTAGTAATTCACCAAAACTGTAGACAGCAGTTTGAATTGAGTGACATCATTTAGCACAATAATGCACCACAAGCCATGTCCACTCTAGTTTCATCCGATGTGGGCTGCTTGCGGTATCGCCTAATTATTAAGCCTTAACACAAAATTAATTGCTTGGTTAGCCAATCAAATGTTATGGAATCACTTGCAATGTTTTTATTTGGTAATGAATTATATATTGACAGTGTCCAGAAGACACCACATCCCTTGAACTGACCGCCACTGGATCAGGCTTGGCTGTTGTCAAGGTAACGCTTACACACCATGTCACAACCCACCACGTCACATCCCACCCCACCACGTCACACCCCAACACATCACACCCCAACACGTCACACCCCACCACGTCACATCACACCCCACCACATCACACCCCACAACACACTCCACCACATCACACCCATCACACCCCACCACATCACAACCCACCACATCACAACCCACCACATCACAACCCACCACATCACACCCCAACACATCAAACCCCACCACATCACAACCTACCACATCACACCCCAACACATCAAACCCCACCACATCAAACCCCACCACATCACACCCCACCACATCACACCCCACCACATCACACCCCACAACACACTCCACAACATCACACCCATCACACCCCACCACATCACAACCCACCACATCACACCCCAACACATCAAACCCCACCACATCACAACCCACCACATCACACCCAAACACATCAAACCCCACCACATCACAACCCACCACATCACACCCCAACACGTCACACCCCACCACATCACACCCACCAAATCACAACCCACCAATGTCACACCCCAACACGTCACACCCCACCACATCACAACCCACCAATGTCACAGCCACCAAATCACAACCCACCACATCACAACCCACCAATGTCACACCCACCAAATCACAACCCACCACATCACACCCCAACACGTCACACCCCACCACATCACACCCACCACATCACAACCCACCAATGTCACACCCAACAAATCACAACCCACCACATCACAACCCACCAATGTCACACCCCACATCACACACCATCACACCCCACCCCAACACACCACACCACATCACACCCCACCACATCACATCACACACCACATCACACACCATCACACCCCACCATATCACACCACACATCATGCCCCATCACACCCAACCATATCACACCCCACATCACGCCCCACCATATCACCCCCCACATCACGCCCCATCACACCCCACCACATCACACCCCACCACATCACACCCCACATCACGCCCTATCACACCCCACCACATCACACCCCACCACATCACGCCCCACCATATCACACCCCACATCACGCCCCATCACACCCACCACATCACGCCCCACCATATCACACCCCACATCACGCTCCATAAAACCCAAAAAACATCACACCCCATCACACCCCATCACATCACACCCCACATCACGCTCCATCACTGCCCACCATATCACACCCCACCATATCACACCCCACATCACGCCCCATCACACCCACCACATCACGCCCCACCATATCACCCCCCACATCACGCCCCATCACACCCCACCACATCACACCCCACCACATCACATCACACCCCACATCACGCCCTATCACACCCCACATCACGCCCTATCACACCCCACCACATCACACCCCACCACATCACGCCCCACCATATCACACCCCACATCACGCCCCATCACACCCACCACATCACGCCCCACCATATCACACCCCACATCACGCTCCATAAAACCCAAAAAACATCACACCCCACCACATCATGCCCCATCACATCACACCCCACATCACGCCCCATCACACCACATCACATCACACCCCACATCACGCTCCATCACTGCCCACCATATCACACCCCACCATATCACACCCCACATCACGCTCCATCACACCCCACCACATCACACCCTACATCACGCTCCATCACACCCCACCACATCACACCCCACATCACGCTCCATAAAACCCCACCACATCACACCCCACCATATCACATCCCACATCACACTCCATCACACCCCACCACATCACACCCCTATCCATCACACCCCACATCACACTCCACCACATCACACCCCACCACATCACACCCCACATCACGCCCTATCACACCCCACCACATCACACCCCACCACATCACACCCCACCATATCACACCCCACATCACGCCCCATCACACCCACCACATCACGCCCCACCATATCACACCCCACATCACGCTCCATAAAACCCAAAAAACATCACACCCCACCACATCACACCCCATCACATCACACCCCACATCACGCCCCATCACACCCCATCACATCACACCCCACATCACGCTCCATCACTGCCCACCATATCACACCCCACCATATCACACCCCACATCACACTCCATCACTGCCCTACACATCACACCCCACATCACGCTCCATCACACCCCACCACATCACACCCCACATCACACTCCATCACTGCCCTACACATCACACCCCACATCACGCTCCATCACACCCCACCACATCACACCCCACATCACGCTCCATCACTGCCCACCACATCACACCCCACATCACACCACATCACACCCCACCACATCACACCCCACCACATCACACCCCACATCACACTCCATCACTGCCCACCACATCAAACCCCACATCACACCACATCACACCCCACCACATCACACCCCACATCACACTCCATCACTGCCCTACACATCACACCCCACATCACGCTCCATCACACCCCACCACATCACACCCCACATCACACTCCATCACTGCCCTACACATCACACCCCACATCACGCTCCATCACACCCCACCACATCACACCCCACATCACACTCCATCACTGCCCACCACATCACACCCCACATCACACTCCACCACATCACACCCCACCACATCACACCCCACATCACGCCCTATCACACCCCACCACATCACACCCCACCACATCACACCCCACCATATCACACCCCACATCACGCCCCATCACACCCACCACATCACGCCCCACCATATCACACCCCACATCACGCTCCATAAAACCCAAAAAACATCACACCCCACCACATCACACCCCATCACATCACACCCCACATCACGCCCCATCACACCCCATCACATCACACCCCACATCACGCTCCATCACTGCCCACCATATCACACCCCACCATATCACACCCCACATCACACTCCATCACTGCCCTACACATCACACCCCACATCACGCTCCATCACACCCCACCACATCACACCCCACATCACACTCCATCACTGCCCTACACATCACACCCCACATCACGCTCCATCACACCCCACCACATCACACCCCACATCACGCTCCATCACTGCCCACCACATCACACCCCACATCACACCACATCACACCCCACCACATCACACCCCACCACATCACACCCCACATCACACTCCATCACTGCCCACCACATCAAACCCCACATCACACCACATCACACCCCACCACATCACACCCCACATCACACTCCATCACTGCCCTACACATCACACCCCACATCACGCTCCATCACACCCCACCACATCACACCCCACATCACACTCCATCACTGCCCTACACATCACACCCCACATCACGCTCCATCACACCCCACCACATCACACCCCACATCACACTCCATCACTGCCCACCACATCACACCCCACATCACGCTCCATAAAACCCCACCACATCACACCCCACCATATCACATCCCACATCACACTCCATCACACCCCACCACATCACACCCCACTCCATCACACCCCACATCACACTCCACCACATCACACTCCACCACATCACACCCCACCATATCACATCCCACATCACACTCCACCACATCACACCCCACCATATCACACCCCACCATATCACATCCCACCATATCACATCCCACATCACACTCCATCACACCCCACCACATCACACCCCACCATATCACATCCCACATCACACTCCATCACACCCCACCACATCACACCCCACTCCATCACACCCCACATCACACTCCATCACACCCCACCACATCACACCCCACTCTACACACCCCACATCACACTCCACCACATCACACCCCACCACATCACACCCCACATCACACTCCACCACATCACACCCCACTCCATCACACCCCACATCACACTCCATCACACCCCACATCACACTCCACCACATCACACCCCACCACATCACACCCCACATCACACCCCACATCACACTCCACCACATCACACCCCATCACATCACACCCCACATCACGTTCCATCACACTCCACCACATCACACCCCATCACATCACACCCCACATCACGTTCCATCACACTCCACCACATCACACCCCACCACATCACACCCCACATCACACTCCACATCACACTCCATCACATCACACCCCATCACATCACACCCCACATCACACTCCACCACATCACACCCCATCACATCACACCCCACATCACACTCCACATCACACTCCACATCACACTCCACATCACACTCCACCACATCACACCCCATCACATCACACCCCACATCACGTTCCATCACACTCCACCACATCACACCCCACCACATCACACCCCACATCACGCTCCACATCACACTCCACCACATCACACCCCATCACATCACACCCCACATCACACTCCACCACATCACACCCCATCACATCACACCCCACATCACGTTCCATCACACTCCACCACATCACACCCCATCACATCACACCCCACATCACGTTCCATCACACCCACCACATCACACCCCACCACATCACACTCTACATCACGCTCCATCACACCCACCACATCACACCCCACATCACGCTCCATAAAACCCCACCACATCACACCCCACCATATCACATCCCACATCACACTCCATCACACCCCACCACATCACACCCCACTCCATCACACCCCACCACATCACACCCCACCACATCACACCCCACCACATCACACCCCACCACATCACACCCCACATCACACTCCATCACTGCCCTACACATCACACCCCACATCACGCTCCATCACACCCCACCACATCACACCCCACATCACGCTCCATCACTGCCCACCACATCACACCCCACATCACACCACATCACACCCCACCACATCACACCCCACCACATCACACCCCACCACATCACACCCCACATCACACTCCATCACTGCCCTACACATCACACCCCACATCACGCTCCATCACACCCCACCACATCACACCCCACATCACGCTCCATAAAACCCCACCACATCACACCCCACCATATCACATCCCACTCCATCACACCCCACCACATCACACCCCACCACATCACACCCCACCACATCACACCCCACATCACACTCCATCACTGCCCTACACATCACACCCCACATCACGCTCCATCACACCCCACCACATCACACCCCACCACATCACACCCCACATCACGCTCCATCACTGCCCGCCACATCACACCCCACATCACGCTCCATCACTGCCCACCACATCACACCCCACCACATCACACCCCACTTCACGCTCCATCACACCCCACCACATCACACCCCACATCACGCTCCATCACTGCCCACCACATCACACCCCACCATATCACATCCCACATCACGCTCCATCACATCCCACCACATCACACCCCACCACATCACACCCCACCACATCACACCCCACCACATCACACCCCACCACATCACACCCCACCACATCACACCCCACATCACACTCCATCACACCCCACCACATCACACCCCACCACATCACACCCCACATCACGCTCCATCACACCCCACCACATCACACCCCACCACATCACACCCCACATCACACTCCATCACATCCCACCACATCACACCCACATCACGCTCCATCACATCCCACCACATCACACCCACATCACACTCCATCACTGCCCACCACATCACACCCCACCACATCACACCCCACCACATCACACCCACATCACACTCCATCACTGCCCACCACATCACACCCCACATCACACTCCATCACTGCCCATCACATCACACCCCACATCACACTCCATCATTGCCCACCACATCACATTCCACATCACACTCCATCCCACCCCACCAGGTCACACACTCTATCACACCCCACCACATCACACCCCACCATATCACACCCCACATCACACCCCACCATATCACACCCCACATCACACCCCACCATATCACACCCCACATCATGCTCCATCACACCCCACCAGGTCACACACTCCATCACATCCCATCACACCCCACATCACACTCCATCACTGCCCTACACATCACACCCCACATCACGCTCCATCACACCCCACCACATCACACCCCACTCCATAAAACCCCACCACATCACACCCCACCATATCACATCCCACATCACACTCCATCACACCCCACCACATCACACCCCACTCCATCACACCCCACCACATCACACCCCACCACATCACACCCCACATCACACTCCATCACTGCCCTACACATCACACCCCACATCACGCTCCATCACACTCACATCACACCCCACCATATCACACCCCACATCATGCTCCATCACACCCCACCAGGTCACACACTCCATCACATCCCACCTCAGTCCTCTGTTCAATGGACATTGAGTGCACTGTTTCCTGTGGAATGCCTGCTATCTCAAAACGCAGTGTTCATGCCAATATTTCTGCAGTTTCTTGAGCAGCAGTGTACACTTGCCGCCTTATTGCTTTCAGATTCTGTGGCAGTACAACACGATGTACAGTGTTGAGAAGAATGATTCCAAACAGATTGATGTGTCCATTGTGACCTACAAGCTCAATGAGGAGGTCTACAACCTGAAGGGATGCTTCAGGTAGAGTTGTCTCTTTTGTTTTTTTCCTGCTTGGTTTACAGAATTACCGACATAATTCTAATTCTCTATTCTGCCGTTTCTCTGTTCTGCCTTTTGGCATTTTTGTGAAATTTCATAGCATTAAATATTTTTATAGCATTCACATGGGAACAAAGTCACAAACTGCTTTGGAGTACCTGTGAACAATATTTGAACAAACAGTTATAGGTCCTTGAACACTTACATATTTGACTGTCATGGCTAGTACATAAATTGATGATGACTCACATTACTAGAACATAAATGGAGGACTTGCATGAATAGTACATGAATGGATGACTTACATGACTAATACATAAATGGATGATGACTTACGTGACTGGTACATAAGTGGATGACTCACATGACTAATACATAAATGGATGATGACTCACAGGGCTAGTAAATAAATGGATGATGAGTCACGTGACTAGTACATAAATGGGTGATGAGTCACATGACAAGTACATAAATGGGTGATGAGTCACATGACAAGTACATAAATGGGTGATGAGTCACATGACTGGTACATAAATGGGTGATGAGTCACATGACTAGTACATAAATGGATGATGAGTCACGTGACTAGTACATAAATGGGTGATGAGTCACATGACAAGTACATAAATGGGTGATGAGTCACATGACTGGTACATAAATGGGTGATGACTCACATGACTAGTACAAAGATGGGTGATGAGTCACATGACCAGTACATAAATGGGTGATGAGTCACATGACTAGGACATAAATGGATGATGACTCACATGACTAGTACATAAATGGGTGATGAGTCACATGACTAGTACATAAATGGATGATGACTCACATGACTAGTACATAAATGGGTGATGAGTCACATGACTAGTACATAAATGGATGATGACTCACATGACTAGTACATAAATGGGTGATGAGTCACATGACTAGTACATAAATGGATGATGAATCACATGCTAGTGCATAAATGGGTGATGAGTCACATGACTAATACATAAATGGAAGATGACATGATATTAGATTTATACGATTTGTTCATATTTCAGCTCAAAAGAGCGTAACCTGGGCATGACAGTGATGTCATTTGAGATGCCAACAATGACCTCACTGGCAAACGAAGACTCATTGCGTGGAAACAAGATAATCAAGCGTGTCGATAATGACGGTGATGAAGTTCATCTCTATTTTGATGAGGTGAGCACTTTAACCAGCATTTCATAAAGGGATCTATGGCAAATCCAAGATTAGAATAGGTCGGCAGCAACCAGTTGTAGCTTGATTGTGGTCAGACTCATTGTACCTAGATGATGGCAGGCATTGTTTATTATAATTTTTATCAATCACTGAATTTTCTATTCCAGACATGATTATGTATAGGCCTACATCATATAGCTGGCATACTGCTGAGTTTGGCATTAAACAACATCAACAAAGTGGAAGTAACTTTATATTATGCAACTCCTCTGAGTGTGTACTCAACATAATAACTACTAATTATCTGGTTCACGTAGAAGTAACAGTTCTTCAGTCCTTGACTTCCTGTGTTCTGCTGCTACAAGTGATGTTTCTCCCTTCAGTCCTACCCGGAGGCGCAGTGTGTGGACGTCCATGTCCAGAGAGATGCCCCCGTGGCCAACCTGCAGGCAGCCGCCATGAAGGCAGTCGTCTACTACCAGCCAGGTAGGGTCTTACTTCCTGTCTCCACGTACCGCAGGATGTACCATCTGTAAGGACAAACTCTCTGTCAGGACGGTACTCTCTGTCAGGACAGTACTCTCTGTCAGGACATACTCTCTGTCAGGACATACTCTCTGTCAGGACTTACTCTCTGTCAGGACACAATCTCTGTCAGGACACAATCTCTGTCAGGACATACTCTCTGTCAGGACATACTCTCTGTCAGGACATACTCTCTGTCAGGACTTACTCTCCGTCAGGACACAATCTCTGTCAGAACTTACTCTCTGTCAGGACATATTCTCTGTCAGGACATACTCTCTGTCAGGACATACTCTCTGTCAGGTCATACTCTCTGTCAGAACATACTCTCTGTCAGGAGGTACTCTCTGTCAGGACACAATCTCTGTCAGGACGTACTCTCTGTCAGGACATACTCTCTGTCAGGACGTACTCTCTGTCAGGACATACTCTCTGTCAGGACGTACTCTCTGTCAGGACGTACTCACTGTCAGGACGTACTCTCTGTCAGAACTTACTCTCTGTCAGGACATACTCTCTGTCAGGACATACTCTGTCAGGACGTACTCTCTGTCAGGACATATTCTCTGTCAGGACATACTTTCTGTCAGGACATACTTTCTGTCAGGACTTACTCTCTGTCAGGACGTACTCTCTGTCAGGACATATTCTCTGTCAGGACATACTTTCTGTCAGGACTTACTCTCTGTCAGGACGTACTCTCTGTCAGGACATATTCTCTGTCAGGACATACTTTCTGTCAGGACTTACTCTCTGTCAGGAGGTACTCTCTGTCAGGACATATTCTCTGTAAGGACATACTCTCTGTCAGGACATACTCTCTCTCAGGACACAATCTCTGTCAGGACATATTCTCTGTCAGGACATACTTTCTGTCAGGACTTACTCTCTGTCAGGACACAATCTCTGTCAGGACATATTCTCTGTCAGGACATACTCTCTGTCAGGACACACTCTCTGTCAGGACACAATCTCTGTCAGGACGTACTCTCTGTCAGGACATACACTCTGTCAGGACGTACTCTCTGTCAGGACATACTCTCTGTCAGGACACAATCTCTGTCAGGACGTACTCTCTGTCAGGACGTACTCTCTGTCAGGACATATCTTCTGTCAGGACATACTCTCTGTCAGGACATACTCTCTGTCAGGACGTACTCTCTGTCAGGACACAATCTCTGTCAGGACATACTCTCTGTCAGGACACAATCTCTGTCAGGACGTACTCTCTGTCAGGACATACTTTCTGTCAGAACTTACTCTCTGTCAGGACATACTCTCTGTCAGGACTTACTCTCTGTCAGGACTTACTCTCTGTCAGGACGTACTCTCTGTCAGGACGTACCATCTGTCAGGACATACTCTCTGTCAGGATGTACTCTCTGTAAGGACATACTCTCTGTCAGGACATATTCTCTGTCAGGACACAATCTCTGTCAGGACACAATCTCTGTCAGGACGTACTCTCTGTCAGGACATACTTTCTGTCAGAACTTACTCTCTGTCAGGACATACTCTCTGTCAGGACGTACTCTCTGTCAGAACATACTCTGTCAGGACATACTCTGTCAGGAGGTGTTCTTTGTCAGGACATTCTCTCCGTCAGGACGTGTCAGTTTCTATCTTGCCGAACTAGGCCGGAATTTCTGGGTTCAAGTTATGTCCCTTCTGTGTCCCTCCTATTGACCAATCAGATTCCTCCTGATATCACTTGCATTTGCCTCAAACAAAATGGCTTGATTTTAAATCACGTGAGCCAAAATAGAACTCCATAACTCCAGCCTAGTTCGTCAAGGGTGGAAACTGGACTTTTATAGTCACTTTATTCCCTTGCCTCTGGAAGATGCCCTCTCCACTCGACGACTATCAGTGATCTACATGTGTGGACTTTCCTCAGACATTAAGCTCACACACCTCTGCATAAGTGAAATTCAGTTCAGAACTAACACATTTATCCTGGTTCTTGTCTTCAGAGCTGGAGAAGGAAGTTCTGTACACACTTGATGAAGTCAAAGATGTCTGCAGCATGTGCGGCACATCCTGTCCTCCCAGCTGCAACACCAACGCCGCAAGCATCAAGAGACTCCACAGTTTCCTCCTTGCAGGCATCATCTGCCTCCTGCTCAGCCTCATTCTGGCCCTGTAACCATGGAAACAACTCAGTGACTCATGACAACGAGACAGCAAAGGATGCACTTGATGATGAAATTGATAAATTCTGAAAATTTTGTGACCACGATTGATTTTATTCATGTTTGCATTTAGTATGTGCTCCCTATGTTGAGATTCTGACAGGGTAGATGCTGTTGATATTACTTCTTGGCAGAGGCACTGTAAATATTCCTTTTCTGTCGACCACAATGTAATCTTTTTGCAAAATATATTTCTAACCTTGAAATTGTTATGCCTGCATGCATAAGATAGTTGATATGGGCCAAATATGAAAACGAATTGGGTTTTTTTTATTCATTATGTAGGCTAGGTGGCTGTAAATATTGGTCAATATATTGATACATTATTAGGGGGGAAATTCAAATTTGTTTTGTTTTTTTACTTGAACTGCTGTATATTGCTTAAGAGAATTGAAAGTAATCAGAAATTTAACCATGACATTTTTATGTACCACCGGTTTGAATTTGTTTCGGTTTAACAAACAAATTATCTGTTATTGGTTTGGAGATCAAACTTCACTGTGGCTTCTCAACATCAGAGCAGCTGATGTCTTCAAAGAAAACATGATGACCTTTGAATTTATACCTCTTCACTTTTCAATGTTATAGATGAATATGTGTTCACCATCAAACACACATAGTTACAAACCACATATTTTAGAACGTTTACAAAACTCAGATGTCAGTTTTAGAGTGAGAGTATTATCAATTCTTACATTGAAATTCTTGCCCTTAAAGACATGCATTCATACCCGACATGAAATTATGTTAATACAGACATACTGTTTGATCAATAGGCAAAGTCTGAAAGGAAGCGTTTTATTTGCAGTTTTTTATTCGTAAGCAGTAAGTAATAATATGCAATATTCAACCATTCCATGAAGACTGTGATTCAATATGTTCACTCTGATGGACATATGTTTTTGATATATATTTGTAAATATTTTTCTCTATATTTTGGATATGGTAATGGACTTTATACAAGGATCCGGGTACGGATACTATGATCATGTGTACTTTGTGTTCAGGCTGCCCTGACGAGGATGGGGATTACCATGTTATAGTGCAGGTCACAACTCGGGATGGTGCTCCTTGACATTGCTGTCATACTTGTCTGTCTGAAAATATCAAAGCATAATAATTGCTTACGTTTGTGTCTTCATGAAATATTACTTGGGTCATTATTAATTAATTATGGCATTATGGTCTCCAATCAATTATTGCAACTCTCCAATAAAAATATTAACATTTGGTCCCATCTCAGAATCCATCTATTAATTTTTGGACATTATCATTAAAATCTAAAGATTGATTTATTGTAGCCCTGTCATAACTATTTTGGTCACATTGTTCAATAACTATTGTGGTCATGGTAGTGTATGTGTATAACAATGTGTCTCTTGAACTGGTTGTGCTTTATTTATTGGTAAACAAACCTGAAACTCCTTTGTCATCAGTGAATTGGCATGTGTTCCCTATGCTGTACCCTTCCCAACACTAGCTCAAGATATCCTTTTTAACCAATCTCATTAAAATCAGATCTTAGTTCTCGCTATCGCTAAACAAGGATCTGAGGACATCCCATTAAGGGTCGCGTCTGAACGACCTTTTATCCAACCAATCAGAACGTCGCTTACCAGATCATGAAAGTGACTGTCGGAATGTGTTTTCTAATCATGCAACCACTAAATATTTAGCACGGGGTATTCCGAACGACAGTTACGTGATTTATGATTATATCCATACAATCTAAGTCATCTATAAGCCATTCCAGAATGTTCTTCTTATCAGTTTTAATTTTTTAAATTGAGAATACGTCAAAATATGTTTCGAAGAGTAGTCGCCAGTTTGAAACTAGTGTCTTAAAGCTCGAGAAAACTGCCTTCTGATTGGCTTATGTCAATTTCTTGTCAGTCATTTCATTGGTCGGTCAAAATTCGCGAAAGGTCGTCCTGACGTGACCCGTAATGGGATGTCCTCAGATCTTTGTTTAGCGGTAGCGAAAACTAAGATCTGAATTTAATGAGATTGCTTTTTAACACACAGAGTTTCACAATGCTAATTCTTCTCTGCATAGTTGGTATTTTGTGCCCAGGCAGTTGTGAAATAACTGTTTACTTAATTATGTTTACCACTAATCTGATGTTTGACTTTACATTTTTTATACATTTTCTGTAAAAAGAACAATCTTAGTGCTTCATGTTTCCAAACCTGAAAACATCATCAATAACGCTACATGTACTGTACCCCACATTCTTGATGTTTCACACTATGTAGCTGTTTTGTCTGATGGTGGAGGGCGGTCGGGTAGCCTAGTGGTTAAAGCGTTCGCTCGTCACGCCGAAGACCCGGGTTCGATTCCCGACATGGGTACAATGTGTGAAGCCCATTTCTGGTGTCCCCCGCCGTGATATTGCTGGAATATTGCTAAAAGCGGCGTAAAACCATACTCACTCACTCACTGATGGTGGAATAACCACCTGTCATTAAATGGCTAATGTCAAAAACATTCAAAGACTCTTTTCATAAATATTATGATTGTTGTTCTCACAAGATGTGTATATCATATATTACATGACATTTTATACTTTTCTTTTGAAACATGTTTTATGCAAAGCCTGTGTTTCCTGTAAGGGGATAAAATGGAGGTGATTTTTAATTTTAAGTGCAGGTTTCTACAAAATGGATTTTAAACATTTTGTTTGTTTCAAGTTGAATTATTGACTTTCAGTAATGGATTATGACATATTTCATTATGAGACTTTTGTAACTCCTGCTCTTGTCTTGATGTTTTATTGTCTGTACAGTACCATGTTTTTTGGGTTGTCTTGTTTTAGAAGTGCCTTTTATGAAATATCCTCACAGTGCTTTGAATAAATAATTTTTACTAGAATAAACAGGTAGCACATAAATGTGTGTGTTGTATTGTGGAGGAAGTTAAGCCACAAGGGCATGACAGTCCTGTTAACATATTTCCACACCATTAGGAGTGTATGGTATTGTTTACTACCTCCATAACAGAATATTCATAACAAATCTGTCATACTGCAGGGTGTCATGATATCTGTCATATTGCAGGGTGTCATGATATCTGTCATATTGCAAGGTGCTGTGATATCTGTCATATTGCAAGGTGCTGTGATATCTGTCATATTGCAAGGTGTCATGATATCTGTCATACTGCAGGGTGTCATGATATCTGTCACATTGGGGGCGGTCGGGTAGCCTAGAGGTTAGAGCGTTGGCACGCCACGCGGGAGACCCGGTTCGATTCCCGACATGGGTACAATGTGTGAAGCCCATTTCTGGTGTCCCCCGCCGTGATATTGCTGGAATATTGCTTAAAGCGGCGTAAAACCATACTCACTCACTCACTCACTCACTCTGTCACATTGTGCCATGACATAGCTGACATAATGTAGCCGGTGGTTATATAACATATAACTGGCAGTCTGCAGGCCTGCGATACAACTGATACATATTGCTGACTGTTGTATGATCGGACTAACATAGCCATACACCCCACCCACTCTCTCCCTCACTACTCCGGTACCACATTGCCCTTGGATGTAACTCCTGAATATAACATAAAACATCAACGCCAGAGAATCGTCAGTCTCGATTAGACCAATTACATTCCATTGGGTGTAAAAGGCAAAATAAAAAAATTATATCAATGGATCACCGAAAATCACTCATGACACCAGGTGTTCGCGAATAGGGTAAGCATGTCCTGCCCTATTGGTAGCACCCGCCATTCACACAATTGGCATCAAATGTATGAATTAGTTGGCTGACACAGCTCAGCAGTACTACAGCCATACGATGTCATCTGTAAGCAAGCCAGACAACCAAGTGTTGGACCAGAAATCTCATATCACATGTATTGATTTTGTAGAAACTGGACATGATACGAGTATGTTAATTATGAACTACATCTGTTGTGTACACACAATGCCATTTACGGGGCGGTCGGGTAGCCTAATGGTCAAAGTGTTCGCTCGTCACGCCAAAGACCCGGGTTCGAATCCCGACATGGGTACAATGTGTGAAGCCCATTTCTGGTGTCCCCCACCGTGATATTGCTGGAATATTGCTAAAAGCGGCGTAAAACCATACTCACTCAATGCCATTTAGAAAGTGGTCAACTGTAACAAATGTTTTATTTGGGATAACTCTTTCTTAGTAATGTACAGATTCTCGTACTTTTGGGGGTTGAGTCCCGTCCGGGATTCGAACCCACACTGCCAGAGTGGGGCACCTAATCCCCAGCACGCAAAGACAGCGATCTAACTCACTCAGTCACCGAGGCTTCCACAAAAATGGAAGTCCGACAACTGGCAGTCTCGATCACATACTTTGTGTAAAAAAGTACAAGAATCTGAACTTAACTGAGAAATTGTTATCCCAAATATAACACTTGTTACATCTGTTGTGTACAAGTTCAGAGTTTCTGCTACTTAAATATCTAAACTACCAACAAAAAATAAGGGAACTAATGATTTGAATGTTTTTGTTTGTTTAACACCGCACTCCTCCTTTCAGAGAAGTTTCAGATATACCTTCAGCTCATCTTGCGGATCGCTCCCCGACGGTGAGTAGGCTAGACACACACGTGGAATCACATTGTCTGTCGTAGACGCGAGCTTCAGCCTTAATCATTAGTGTCGTTGTGTGTTGTTTAAACGCCTCTCAGCAATATTCCAGCTATATGACGTTGGTCTGTAAATAATCGAGTCTGGACCAGACAGTCTAGTGATTGACATCATAAACATCGACCTACGCAATTGGGATACAATGACATGCATCAACCAAGTCAGCAAGCCTGACCAGCCAAATCGCAAGCATGGGTTGCTGAAGACCTATTCTCATGTAGCTATTTGAATGTAGCTATTGTTGAGGTGTACATTTACAATACCATGGCGTTGCATCTGACCTCAACATCTGATCTCAAATAAATTTCACATCATGCATGGACAGCACGGGATACACGTAGAAGCCAAAGTGTGTGCGCCTATAGGGAACTCACAATCACTAATATTATTGAGATGAGGACACCCTAAAACATGCAAGGTTGCAATGGGACCTGGGCTTGGCAGGACTACACCTACACAAGATCGTCATTTATTGCACTCCGCAATAGCTACAAATCTGCTCCTGTTATCAATAGTAAAATCCGTACAATAACAGGAAGACAAATTTCAACATCAACCTTTAAAACACGGTTTTATGCAGCCCGCTTGAAAGCATGCGCCCTGGGGAAAACTGTCCCAAACAGCTTACCATAGGCGGCAAAGACTAGGGTGGGCAAGACACCAAGAAGATCGGGTTGTGCGCCAATGGGGTAGGGTTGGGACGAGTCCAAATTTACTACCCGGGTACCCACTGAAGGTCCCAGGAGATGTCTCAAAATGTCCGATTGGGAACATGTTTAGCATAGCCCTTGCAAAACACATGAATCAAACAATCTGGTTATTCATACAATAAAGTTGAATTATGTGATATCATTATTCAATCATATGAAATATCAGAAGGAATGGGTGCATAGTCAGAAAGAAATCCGAACATTAGTGACTTGTAGTGTTACCATAGAGTTCTAGATAATTTTTGTCATTAAACAATATATCACGTGACTAACCACGGGTCCGGGTAGTCTTGTGGGTACCCGGGTCCTACTCAGTGCCCACACGTCCCTGGTACCCGAGTTAGCCCTCCCAGCCCTACAATGGGGCTACATCATGTTTAGAGACGATTCAAGGTTTTGCCTCCGATTCACAGATGCTAGAAAACGTTGGCGATGCAGCGACGAGCGGTGTGCCAGGGCAACAATTCTTGACCATGATCGGTAGTGTTCCATTAGCTTGAATTATCGGCAACAATTTTGAACTGCAAGATGACAGTGCCAGACCACATCGTGCCCAGTTCGTCACCGTCTCCGACGAGAAGACATACGGACATTGTACTGGCCCGCTAAGTCCCCTGACATCTCCTAATAGAGCCACTGTGGGATGTTCCCGGGCGGAGTGTGTACGCCACAGTGAGTGAGTGAGTATGGTTTTACACCGCTTTTAGCAATATACAACAGTCAGCAATATGTATCAGTTGTATGGCAGGCCTGCAGACTGTCAGTTATATAACCACCGGCTACATTATGTCAGCTATGTCATGGCACAATGTGACAGAGTGAGTGAGTGAGTATGGTTTTACACCGCTTTTAGCAATATTCCAGCAATATCACGGCGGGGGACACCAGAAATGGGCTTCACACATTGTACCCATGTCGGGAATCGAACCCGGGTCTTTGGCGTGACGAGCAAACGCTTTAACCACTAGGCTACCCGACCGCCCCGTGTACGCCACAGACCCAGCACCGGCCAACGTGGCCTAGCGTGCGGTAACTCTACAGGCAGAATGGCGGGCAATTCCAAGGGCAACCATACGCAACGTAATCAACAGTATGCAAACAAGGTGACGTGCATGTATCACCCAACATGGTGGACAAACCAGATATTGATCTCTCCGCCCGAAATTAACTTTGCAGACATTTATCGTCATTGCAACTCACTATCGTTTCATCATATATGAGAGAAACGTTTGAGGCCTATGTAGGTTTTTACAACACAGTTAGGTTAGGGGGTAGGGTGGTGCAGTTTTAATGAGTCGGCCCAAACATTTATTTGGAAGTTTACTCAGTAAAGATAAATGCTACTGGGTTAATGATGAAACTCGGGGACTTCAGTCTGATGTCAGTAACATCGACCCAGGTCAAGTAAATATAAAACGTCAATACTTATTATCTGTCTCGGTTATCTGCCGAAACACATCCCATTGGGCGTAAAGGGCAAATAGTGGTGAAAAATATATGAATGGATAACCCATGTGTAACCCATGAATAACCCATGCTTGCAAGTGGGCTAACGGGATCGAGGGGTCAGGCTCACTGACTTGGTTGATGCATGTCATTGTATCCCATTGCGCATATCGATGCTGATGATGTCGTTCACTGGATTGTCTGGTTCAGACTCGATTATTAACAGACCGCCGTCATGTGGCTGGAATTTCGCTAAGTGCGGCTTGATTCATAAACGCATGCTCATGATACAGTCGGAATCATACATGAGACTCATTGGATTTATTATGAGTGAGTGAGTGACGTTTAACGCCGCTTTTAGCAATATTCCAGCAATATCACGGCGGGGGACACCAGAAATGGGCTTCACACATTGTACCCATGTCGGGAATCGAACCCGGGTCTTCGGCGTGACGAGCGAAAGATTTATTATGAATACAGGAAGGGGTTGGTGGCTTATACTTCTACATGCTTGTTTTTTATAATGAGAATATTGAAGTATGAGGTAACTTAAAAAAATGGGGGTCCATCGAAGTAATAAGACATACTTTCATTGTTAGAGTCCTTGTCATTTTGGGCGGTGGGTTAGCCTTGGGTAGCGGTGGGGTTAAAGCGTTTACTCGTCACGCCGAAGGCCCGGGTTCGATTCCCCACATTGGTACAATGTGTGAAGCCCATTTCTGGTGCACCCCGCCGTGATTTTGCTGGAATAATGCTAAAAGAGGCGTCAGACCACACTCACTCCTTTTCATGTATGAAAAAAATACTATTTGTCACACAGTATCTGTAGTGCTTCAGGCTACAGTCTGTGTTACGGAGACAGTTGCCAGAAATGTCAATTGTCTTGGTCACCATTGTCCAACCTTGTGGTGTCACCCTGGGCAAGTGACTTAGTTCAAATATGCCTCTGTTTACCCAGCAGGGAATGGGTACCCGATATGTGAGGTGGATGTTAAAACCTTCTGGCGCCCCTAGGCAACTTGGGTTGTATACTCCCCAGGGAGTTGAGAATGATAACTGGCATGCGAACGGATCCACTGGTTGGGGAACAAATAAAACCGCATTTGGGCAATTACTAGTACCTGTGGTATATAAATGTATGATATAATAAAATGATAAAAAATATAATGATAATATAATAAAAAATTTAAAATAATAAAATAAACTTAGCTTGGTTTATTTGTAAATTTCATTTTAATATTGTACCAAATTCATCCTGGTGGCAAGATGTGTTATGCTAGTGCCTGTGAATCTGATTTGCACATCTAATTTCAATATATTATGTAAGATGTATCTTATCGATATTTGACCTAATGTGCAATTGTATGCAATTTATTTAAACATGTTTTAATTCTCTTTTAAAACTCTTTTAACTTATGAATTCCAAACATGTTTACATTATTGGAATGTTATATTTCGGTGCTGTTTAGGCTGTGAGACTCTAGCTGATTTCATGTGTTTTGATCCTAACGTGTTGTACATTTTCTACACAACAAACAAACAAACCTAGATATAAAATCACCAGTTTATTAAAGGTCGTACCTCAATCGGTTTTCCCCAAACTAAAGGCATGTAAAGACATCATAAATTGAGAAGAAACATGTAACAATGGCCTAATATCAACGCTTTAAAAAGTTCCATATATAATCTAAATTGCTAAAGTATAACTCGTTTAATGTTTTCTTTAACGCTTTCAATGTTGTAGCTCAAAAGAAAAATTGGAAAATGGGTAAACTGTTAATAAACGAGTAATTCTCACAAAAAATATCTTTAAATTGTAAATCATAATGTAAGTGCTTTACCATAGGATATAATAAAATATTGAAAGCAAAATCTGAATATCTTCGGTTCACAACATAACTGATCCGTATTTTCAGAAACAGATCACATTGAGCAATGGTAACATTTATCACAGTTTCATAAATCATAATGCATGTCGGAAACAACAATAAAAACAACAATATAATATTCATGTCAACCACATGGCAAGCTGTTCAAAATGAAAAAAAAATGGAACTTTATCAACAAATTGGTAAAAAGTATATTTTATGATATTAGGACACCTCATTAATCCAACAGTTTGTAATCTCCAAGTTTGATGATTAACGACGTGTCCCTTCCCATGCGATCTTGAGGAAGAGCAGAAAAAACCCATCATTATTACATGTGCAAGTATTGGATCAAAATAAAATTTTCCTGAAATTACCCCCAAAAATAATTTTGCCTCAGGTTTTCACTCGCCCTCACCGGATATCCCGAAAGTGTTTGGGTCCCAACAAAATTGATAATTAGGAAAAGAGATTGGATCGTAAAGACAACCATTTCAAGTTTCCCTCTACCAAAAATCCCAGAACTCCTCTGATATTAATGAGTCCGTTTTTTGTTAAAAAAAGGATTTTTTTTAATACTGCATTATGTTTTTTCCAAATTGATCTTAGTGCCGCGGAACCTGGATACGTGTGGCCCTGGTTATCGGGATATATCGTAGTTTAATCATTTACAGTTACAAACGAGGTTAATGTCAAGGTCATGAAACAAAAGGTTTTTTTATCCAGACAAAACAATCTGCACTGTCTGGATTAAAGAGGGTTCAAGGTTTAGTGCCATTCTCGCGATAAACTGAAACATAACAACAATTAACAACATTCGTGAGTGTTTTACAGGTGTCGACGTATATACACGTAATGAGCTGCTCTCTGAATATACAAATCCATATCATCTGGCTACCTGGCTGTATATAGAATATACATGGCGTTATTAAGGGTAAGGGTATGCCATAGGGGTAAATAATCTAGTTACCTGCCCGTTCTTGACGCATGACATCGGTGTTACGTATGTAAAAAATCGGGTTACTTAGATTTGTTTGTGTTTTGTTTATTTGTTGTTTAACGCCGCACTCAGCAATATTCCAGCTATATGACGGCGGTCTGTAAATAATCGAGTCTGGACCAGACAATCCAGTGATTAACATCATGAGCATCGATCCACGCAATTGCCATCCGATGACATGCGTCACCCAAGTCAGTGAGCCCGTTAGTCGCCTCTTACGACAAGGCTGCTTCGCACAACATGAAGAACACTGCAGCGATGTTACTTACATGGGCACTATACAACATATTACCCGAACGCACATGCAGTATATAGCGATGTTACTATGTTATATGTGAAAATACAGCCGGTTACCCCCGTGTAGCATATAAGCGATGTTACTATTTGGGTTTCCATTTAGAATAAAAGGTCAGTGATTATGGGGAGAATATATGTTATATGGGTAATATATAGAAACATTCTGTACACAATACATTTATGCAATGTATTCTACGAAAACAAGTTATGATGATGCTAAATTACATTTTACGTAAACATATGAACTAGGAGAAATTGGCTAAACAAACTAGCAAGAATTCCAACATTAATTTCAACTTCAAAACATTTTGATGTTTTCTTCGGGAAAAGTAGCTACATGAAATTTATTGTGATATAATGAGAAATTATGATAATGATTTTGGTATTTTTGGTATTTCGTTGTTGGGTTTCGTTGTTACATATTCACCCAATCCATTTTGTCAGAATAATTTAGGTAGTTACAGGTTGTTTTCCCATAACAGAAATAACTAAACGTGTAAAAAGGATCTTGAGGATTCATCGGTGAGGCAACAACGTAAGGATTCGGAACTTGGTGTTTATGGGATAACTTGGTATTCCGACTGAATCAACAACGAAGATCCCTTTTCATATCCGTTGGCAATTGTTCTTCATTAGGTATGCGTACTGATGGATGCGATCAGATTCCATAATCTGTTGAGTGATTGAGTGAGTTGGGTTTAACGCCGCTTTTAACAGTATTCCAGTTATATCGCGGCGTGTCAGCTTAATGTGGGAGGAAAGCCCGAAGTGATGCAGGTCTCAGACGTTTACCACTTTGGTGAAACCCACGAGCACGGGTATGGTGCTGACAAACCTAGAAACATAATCGGGGCGAACCGGGATTCGAACCCACAATCATAGGTTTCTGGCGTGCCCAAGGGACGCAACTCTGCACAGCCGAACTTCTCCACTAAACTAAACCCTGTTGATTTTTCAAACAATGCTCGATGTGGAATCACAATTTGGTGACCTGCATGTAAGGGATATCATCAGAAGACGCATCATCATAAACAAGATAGGAGTCCAACTCAGCAAATAGCTCGGCGTCCAGTTCGGAATCTAGGTTGGGATCGGTGCTGGTGGTGGAACTAGAGCCGTCGAGGTCGTCGTCCGTCATGGATGCTGTCTCGTTCAAGTCCATGGAAGAAGAGCTGGCACTGCTTTCGCTGGAGCGAGATCGCAGAGAAAACAGCTCGTTCAGCATAACAGGATCAAGGTCTGCAAAAGGATCAACGTATTCGACGTCGCTTGATCCTATGCTGCCGCTGTCTACGGAGCCTTCTGTTCTCGTGACGTCGTTCTGTGGTTCTATGTCTACCTGGAAGTTGAACCTTTCGTCCCCGGTATCCTGATCTGAGCTGAGACCCGAGTCTGGGGGCGTGGTCTCCCGGGGTGTCCTTTCCTCTATAATGCTCAGGGGTCTCTGGATTTCACTGAAGGTGTGGCTCCGGCGGATTATCCCTGCTGGTTTGCTGATTGTTGGCGCAGAGGCACGCCTTACGGCCAAACTGGGGAATACAGAGAGATTATTACCCGAATGTGTTTTCGTATCGGGAATTTCATATTTAAGAAATAAAAATTCTTATAACCGTATTTCCTCTAAAAAGCGCCACGGTGATCATTCTTTGAACAAGCTTCCAAACTGGCGCTGGAGGCCCGGCGCCTCTTATAGATACTGTGTTTATTAGAGGAAATACTGTATCGATGACGCCGGAGACTCTAAGGCGAAACAGTAGGTGAATTCGAAATGTTCAGGAAAAACTCTTACTTCTCAATGTTGCCCTTCTTCATGATTGAGTGAGTGAGTGAGTTAGGTTTAACGCCGCTTTGAGCAGTATTTCAGCCAAATCACGTCCTGTCAGCTGAATGTCGGAGGAAAGCCCGAAGTGATGCAGGTCTCAGACGTTTACAGCTTTGGTGAAACCCACAAGCACGCTATGGTGCTGAAATACCTAGAAACATAATCGGAGCGAATCGGGATTTGAACCCACGATCAAAGGTTTCTGGCGTGCCCAAGGGACGCAAGTCTGCGCCTTAGATAACTGAGCCACCCGTGTTCCCATTACTTTATGAGCTATTCGATAAAACTATTCAACTCAACAATACATGTAAATGAGAGCAGGTGTCTGGTGATGTTCCTTATACTTGTGCGATGCTATTCGGACGGCGGGGAACCCGGTGGTTGAAGCGTTCACTCGTCACAGCGAAGACCGGTTTCGAATCCCGAAATTTGTACATGAACCCATTTCTGGTATCCCTTTACTCCTTCTGTAGTTCCTGACTATGCTTGCCGTAAAAAGCGACTAACGGGATCGGGTGGTCGGGCTCGCTGACTTGGTTGATGCATGTCATCGATCCCAATTGCGTGGATCGATGCTCATGATTAATCACTGCATTGTCTGGTCCAGACTCGATTATTTACAGACCGCCGTCATATAGCTGGAATATTGCTGAGTGCGGCGTAAAACAACAAACCAACCAACCAACTAACCTTCTGTAGTTCCAATAACAGATTCACTCTTATTTTGATTCTAGGTTGGGTAACATGCATACCCCTGCTCGTCTGTTTCCCTAAAGTGGTTAACGCCTCACATCTGCATCACGTTCTGTTCTAAATTAAGCTGAGACGCCGTGATGTAACTGAAATACTTTTCAAAGCGGCGTAAAACACAACTCACTCACTACCTACCTAGTCCTCCTCCGGAGTACTGACTCTTCCTCCATCCTCAGCATGGAGTGGCGTCTGGCCAGGGCGAGAGACGCTCTTCTCACTATCGACTTTCGCCGCGCTATCGACAACCGTTTCAAGGCTCTGTCAAAAAAATTAACGCATTAACGCTGCTATAAAATATTAATTTGTACGGCAAGATTAACCACATTTAAGATTGAAAGATCTAAATGCATCAAATAAATGAGTAAGTCAGCTTCTATGATATTTTCCTTTATTGTAGTCTTTCTCACGGGGAAACCAGGGTTCCCGCATAGTAACGTGTAGAGTCAAACAATGCTCTTGACATCCCACGCCGTGAGATAGTCATCTGCACTGAACAATTATAATGCTAAATCACTATATGCTGCACTGTTAGTTCACTGTTAGAGATCGCGAGACTATTCGAAGTATTGTGCGGTGCATTAGATTACAAAGACTCTGATTTCAAAAAGATGTTCTCGGGTTTATGACCGATTGCTACATAAACCAATGCCATGACCAAAAAACATATGAGAATATATATAACAAACATCGGTTCAATGCTATTCATGAAGATCCGGGTTAGAATTGGTCTCCAGCAACCAAACAGGATCGGGTGGTCAGGCTCCTGACATCGTGTTCCAGCGTAGGTCTATGCTCATGATGTCAATCACTGGATTGTCTGGTCCAGACTCGATTATTTACAGACCGCCACCATATAGCTGAAATAATGCTGAGAGGCGTTTAAACAACACACAACGACACTAATGATTAAGGCTGAAGCTCGCGTCTACGACAGACAATGTGATTCCACGTGTGTGTCTAGCCTACTCACCGTCGGGGAGCGATCCGCAAGATGAGCTGAAGGTATATCTGAAACTTCTCTGAAAGGAGGAGATGATGTTTAGGGAACATTGTCAGATGTTGTACTATAAAGTATATTACGTTTAGTTTCTCTGCATGTGACCATTCGGCATAATGTACATGGGTAGATCAGTCGTCTAAGGCGCCGCAATTCCCTGTGCAGAGTTGCGTCCCTTCCTTATCCTATGGGTTCGAATCCAGGAATCGCCATGATAATGTTTCTTAGTTTGTCACCTCCACACCTCTGCTCGTGTTGCACCACAGTGCTAAACGTCTAATACCTGCACCACTTTAAGCTTTCCTCCACACCGTGATATAAGCATAGGCATAACTGAAGTGCTGTTTAAAGCAGCGTTTAACCCAACGCCCTCACTCACTACAATGTTAAATAATAGTCTCCAGCTAATTGGACATTGAAAGGACCAATGACTCATTTTTAAATCCAGGGGTTTCAACATAGGGAGACATTTCCAGGGAACGATACCAATGACTCACCTTGGTTGTCTGTTTTCCGAGATATGAGTGAGTGAGTTGGGTTTAACGCCGCTTTTAACAGTATTCCAGTTATATCGCGGCGTGTCAGCTTAATGTGGGAGGAAAGCCCGAAGTGATGAAGTTTACCACTTCGGTGAAACCCACGAGCACGGGTATGGTGCTGACAAAACTAGAAACATAATCGGGGCAAACCGGGATTCGAACCCACAATCATAGGTTTCTGGCGCGACCAAGGGACGCAACCCTGCACAGCGAATCGCGGCGCCTTAGATGAATTTCTCCACGAATCGGCAAACGCAAAATATATATTGATGTTCTGATATCGTTCAGTTATGGATAGATAGCCATTTTGTGTCCACTCATTTACCCTCCTGCACAGTATTTAGATCTATGCATAAAGATTCTGAGTGACAAAAACCTATCCACAAGAATGTATAACAAGAGGGATGACTTCAACTTTCTAACAGTCAACTTTCCCTTTATTTATGCCACCATATATATTTATGTTGAGCAATATTAAAGCAGCTCCAGCCTTTGGTGTACATTTTACGACGGTCGTTTGTACAGTCGAGCATGCCCTTTCTACGAAGATTTGAAACAGCGTCATGAGACGCCAATAAGACGTCACAAGACTTCAGCATTCAACGTCTTTGGGGGGCGGTCGGGTAGCCTAGTGGTTAAAGCGTTAGCTCGTCACGCCGAAGACCCGGGTTCGATTCCCGACATGGGTACAATGTGTGAAGCCCATTTCTGGTGTCCCCCGCCGTGATATTGCTGGAATGTTGCTAAAAGCGGCGTAAAACCTCACTCACTCACTCACTCATTCAACGTCTTTGGGGATACGTCAGGGAAACTTATGATTATGTAAAGGGTTCCCCCACTCCCGTGATATGGCTTGACAATTCTGAATCCTCCTCAAACCTATGTATTTTGCTTACCACTTTTTTTTACCACTAAAACGTTTCCGATTTTTCGAATACTAAGTACTTAGAATGACTGCTCATTAGTTATAGATATTCAGTGAAACATAAACACACATTGATGTCATTTACATAGTTCATATATTTAAAATCATGTATATGTTTTGACACAATGATATATATATATATATATAATAAAGTCCACGTAGACCCGACATCCATCTGTATCAGTTTCAGACGTACATGTAGTACTTTCACTGTCTCATAACAGCTCTTCAGTGTAACAGTGTATACATATATATATATATATATATATATATGTGTGTGTGTGTGTGTGTGTGTGTGTGTGTGTGTGTGTGTGTGTGTGTGTGTGTGTGTGTGTGTGTGTGTGTGTGTGTGTGCGTACGTGCGTGCGTGCGATCGTGTGTGCGTGCGTGCTGGCGTGCGTGTGTGTGTGTGTGTGTGTGTGCGTGCGTGCGTGCGTGCGTGCGTGCGATCGTGTGTGCGTGCGTGCGTGCGTGCTGGCGTGCGTGTGTGTGTGTGTTGACGAAGCTCACCTGAAAATTGACCGTTGATTTTGAGGAACTTCTTGGGTATGTAGAGAATCAGAGAGAAGACAACGAGAGCCAGGGACACGATAAACTCTGGCTTGGGTGCCTGGAGAAACGGCGCTATGGAGAAACAGGCGATGATGGCAACGACGACGATTGGGATGGCGATGTTAACCTGTTGATGACGTAACAGTGTGTTATTAAACGCCTCTGCGAAAAACATTTCACTTACATCAGGGCGCGTCAAAGGAAATCCGCAAGTAATGCAGGTTTAGACGTTTAAACCTTTTGTGAAACACACGAGCAAGGGTGTGGGCAACAAACCAAGAATCATAATCAGAGAGAATATTGGACTGAATCGCGATCACAAGATTCTGGAACGCCTAAGGGACGCAACTCTGCACAGCGAATTGCGGTGCCTGGACGAGTGTGCCACCCAACATTTGTAAATGAATGTTATTAAACACCGCCCTTGACAATATTCCAGCTTTATTTCGGCGACTTGTTTGTAGTCAAGTCTGGGCCTGGTAGACCAGTAGTTGAACAACGATGGCAACCATTGGGACATGATGATACACAACCAGGTGACACATTGTAAATACTTGATCGGTTCTAGCAGTGAGTGAGTGAGTTTGGTTTAACATCGCTTTTAACAGTATTCCAGTTATATCGCGGCGTGTCAGCTTAATGTGGGAGGAAAGCCCGAACTGATGCAGGTCTCAGACGTTTACCACTTCGGTGAAACCCACGAGCATGGGGATGGTGCTGACAAACCTAGAAACATAATCGGGAATTCGAACCCACAATCATAGTTTTCTGGCGTGCCCAAGGAACGCAACTCTGCACAGCGAATCGCGGCGCCTTAGACGACTGGGCCACCCGTGCCCCCCCCCCCCCCCCCCCCCCGGTTCTAGCAAGCAAGGGCAGTATTTAACATTTCAACTACCGCGCAAGTACTGTGCATATACACATTGTCGTTAAGATAGGCGTGAAGCGTACGCCAATCACCTAAACCGACTAGTTGTCACATTGTGAAGGTTTGTGGATTTGTAAATATGAGAACAAAATAGGAATATGCCATGAATATTTCATTTACAAGACAGTTGTCTTAAAATGTTTTTTTATTCTTATACATTTTTTTGCATTTCTTTTTATTAAATGTATTTCTGATGTCGTGATACTGCTGGAATATTGCTAATTGGGTGAGTGAGTTTGGTTTTACGCCGCTTTTAGCAATATTCCAGCAATATCACGGCTGGGGACACCAGAAATGGGCTTCACACATTGTACCCATGTTGGGAATCGAACCCGGGTCTTCGGCGTGACGAGCGAATGCTTTAACCACTAGGCTACCCGACCCCCCTCCAAATATTAAAATTCCATAAAGCTTTTTAAATGTTTATATTTTTATACAGTTTTTTCATTTCTTTTCTTTCAATGTATTTCTGATGTGATATTCCTGGAATATTGCTAAAAGCGGCGTAAAACCATACTCGCTCACTCACTCATTCAATCTATATTATTTTTACCAAAATATGAAAATTCCATATTTCAAAGTGATTTGCATTTGCAATTAAGATATAAAATACGTGACTACAGTGATACATGTACGGGGCGGTCGGGTAGCCCAGTGGTTAAAGCGTTTGCTCGTCACGCCAAAGACCCGGGTTCGATTCCCGACATGGGTACAATGTGTGAAGACCATTTCCGGTGTCCCCCGCCGTGATATTGCTTGAATATTGCTAAAAGCGGCGTGAAACCATACTCACTCACTCACTCACTCACTCACTCACTGATACATGTACGCTTGGCCCACCTTATAGGGCCTTGACTTTGCCTTGTTTTTCACTCTGAGGACCAGGAGTGCCAGGATTGACAGACCATGGAACAACCAGACAGTGAAGACGAAGAACCGAACCAGGACGGCCAGCGAGCCGAACATCAGCATCAGGATGGCGATCAACGCCTGCAGCAGACACTACATCATCACCGTCTCATTCAGGTAGTAGTACGCCAAGATTCAAGTAAACAAAGCGACAAAACCCTTTCCATATCCAATAGAGATCTCTGCATAAAGCAGTATGAGTCCGTCTATATCATGAGCATGTGTTTATGAATCACTATCAAGCAGTGATGGTACCAGGTGTTAGCGAGAAGATGAGCGTATCCTGCCCCACCGGTGGCACCCATCACAAACACATGCAAAGGCAAGTCAATTGTTCACCTGAAAAAAATATATTTAAGTAAATCTTTCGAAAGTTTTATGGTAGACATGTGGAGGACATGTCCAAATGTGACTCGTTAGAGACCCAAATAATGTCTGGTGAAATTCCATATTTTGACTTCTACCATATGTTTCAGTACTTTTTAGGTGGACTTTTGACTTGCCTTTGCGTGTGTTTGTGTCGGGCTGAGGGTTCCATATATATGTAGCTTATAAATGTTTTTGTTGAGACATGACAATCACTTATTTAGCAACCATGTATACAAAGTGGAACACACTACTTTGTGTGATGAATCCAACACGGCGTCATTGATGTCACTGTATTGCTTGTTACCTATGATTTGTTTTAAATGTTGTTAGCTCACCTTATACGAATATCATGAAAATAACTGTAGAATCTTTTTTAATACATATTCATCATGTTTCAAATACTATTCACAGACAGACGTGTTTATTCAGTATTGCGGCATTGTGACCCAGAGTACAGTTGAATAAACAAAATATAGTCGTAGTCAAGTGACTGACAGGACAATTGCTAAATTAACAGCCCTTAGGAATCTTATAGAAAATGTGTTTGATAAAGATGGCTACTTACTTAATAGTATTTACATCATTTGAGTTAAGTAAATTGTACATTACTTAGAGTATGTATTTTCTAAATGTGCACAGGAAATATTTCTTTCTTTGGGAAGCAAAGGCATCACAGATAACAGGACATGATACTCGTCTTCAATGGATCCAGATTTACAATATGTACAAAAAATATTTGAATTGTCTATGTGTTTTACGTTTAAACAATGTAAAGAGATTCTAAACTTAGAAAACGCTTGTAGACAGGATTTATCATTTACTGTTTCTCAGGTTGAAACACTGATTTAATTGAAGCATAATGTGAAAGAAAATGAGAAGATCTGATAGGTTCTGACGAACCTTGAACGAAAATATCAACGTGTCTTTGTTTAAAAGTAGAAACAAACGATAGCTTATCGCCAACATCTTGGGCAATCCAAACATAGGAGACACTACAAGAAAATAATTATGTTCTGACACTAGACGCCAATGTATGTTTGCCATCAATATCTAAGATACTAACAATATTCAGAGTCGTGGCTATCGAACAGCAAATGACCCTCACTCCCCCTCCCCCCCCCCCCCCCCCCCCCCCCCTCCCCATCCCCATCCCTCTTACCCTGCTGATGAGGGTGATGATGTTGGTCTTGCTGCGCACGTGTACCCAGGAGGAGAACTCCGGCATGTTGCCGTCCTTCAGAGCGACGCCAGACAGTCTGCGTGGACAAACATGACGGAATGTGTATCGTTTAATGTAAACACAGTTGATGGCTGTTGTCTCAAAAACCTGAGGGAGCGGTCGTATAGCCTAGTGGTTAAAGCGTTCGCTCGTCACGCCGAAGACCCGGGTTCGATTCCCGACATGGGTACAATGTGTGATGCCCATGTCTGGTGTCCCCCGCCGTTATATTGCTGGAATATTGCTAAAAGCGGCGTAAAACCATACTCACACACTCAAAAAATGACACACAAGTAGAAAGGCTGGGATTTTATCGAAATAAATTTTCCCCGAAAACGCTTAAAACATAATTATGCTTGAGAATGTTGTAAAAAGGAAATTGCAAGAAAAAGATCATTGTAACAAAATAAATATAGCCTCATAGTTTTAATAAAAAAAATATATCTGATTTTACAGTTGCAGCAGAAAAAAAACAGAGTTTCCATGCAAAACTTACAAATTCTTCATTGTCTGCCATGTTCTAACTGAGGAAGAGAATTTATGGATGTCAACTTCTGTATTACGAAGAACACAACGTTTCGGAGTATAGACTTACTCCTTCATAAGTATATATATCGAAACGTTGTGTTCCTCCATAAATTCTCTTCCTTATGTGTATAACTTCTAAATTCTAACTTCTTCTTTCAAAGACTTGTGTCAACTACTTTTCTTTTTGTGTTTTTCACTTTAATATCATCAGTATATTTATTTTCTGAGGCCTATATATCAAATCACGTGTTGTACTGGGAATAGTGTGACGGCTTTTGTGGTCCAGGTGTACAAGAACAGATAACCACTACGATAAGAGACTACACGAAGTAAGGATAGTAAGAACAGACTGTTTACATAGTGCAGGTAACAAACTTTATGATATGAATTTAACAATCTACGGAGACGTCGTACGAGCTTATGCCTTCAATGTCATCATTCAAAACGGGCTCTTTGCCAGAAGTAACTTCAGTGTTAAAACTGTTAGAGTACCCCCGACATCAGAAATATGAGTACCCTGCCAAGAGAACGACCGTTAATTGAAGTCATACATTATTCCCCCACGTACCCCAAGAGTGATAACGACATCATAATGTGATAAAATAAAGGTGTGTACTTTACCAGTTTTGATAAATTTATCTGAAGAATTAGCTTGAAGGCCACGTCCCCTATCTCTTTTGTTTGATGTGCTCGACTCGTGGCCAACTAGAGGATAATAGAATGAAACGCACCTTAAGCAAATATGCCAAATACCGCCCTCTACTAAACACTATCCTGTCGGGGTCACACTCCTGACCCACATGTCACAATATACAACTTGAGTTGTATTATCCGATCTTCATTCATCCTGACTACTAACAGTAAACCCTTAGACAAACAGGGGACTTCAAACTCGTCACGTCCCAGTATCAGAATAATACATGATGAAAAGTCACTAAAACTAGGGTTTTTTTCTCACATATTTTATAAATCTGTTGATTCCCTAACCAATGCTTGTCTCCCTGAAAGGATTATGGGTAGAATTAGTCCAATAACCTATGTTTGTCTCCCTGTGGGGATAGCAGGTAGAATTGAACCTACGTACATGTATAACCTATGCTTGTTCGCCTGTGGGGATTACAGGCTATAACCTATGCTTGTCTCCCTGTGGGGATTCAAGTAGAATTGAAGCTATAACCTATGTTTGTTGCCCTGTGGGGATTACAGCCTATAACCTATGCTTGTCTCCCTGTGGGGTTTACAGCCTATAACCTATGCTTGTCTCCCTGTGGGGATTCAAGTAGAATTGAAGCTATAACCTATGCTTGTTGCCCTGTGGGGATTACAGCCTATAACCTATGCTTGTCTCCCTGTAGGGATTCAAGTAGAATTGAAGCTATAACCTATGCTTGTCTGCCTGTGGGGATTACAGGTAGAATTGGCCCAATAACCTATGCTTGTCTCCCTGTGGAGATTACGGGTAGAGTTGGCCCTATAACCTATGCTTGTCTCCCTGTGGTGATTACAGCCTATAACCTATGCTTGTCTCCCTGTGGGGATTACAGCCTATAACCTATGCTTGTCTCCCTGTGGGGATTACAGCCTATAACATATGCTTGTCTCCTTGTGGGGATTACAGCCTATAACCTATGCTTGTCTCCCTGTGGGGATTACAGGTAGAATTGGCCCAATCACCTATGCTTGTCTCCCTGTGGGGATTACAGGTAGTATTGGCCCAATCACCTATGCTTGTTTCCCTTCTGGGGATTATGGCTAGAATTGGCTTAATAACCTATGCTTGTCTTCCTCTGGGGATTACGGTTAGAATTGGAAGCAACATTCACTCACTCACTAAAGGTTTACCTAAATATTTAAATAAATAAATACTTTTATCTTGATAGCGTGTCTTACTTGCGTTTGGGTCCCAGAAATCCTCCGGCAAATATCTATCTGCGTTTCTCTCGTGGGTGTGGTCTGGTATGCTCACTCCCGACATTCAGTTTGCTTAGAGTGAGTATTTTTTGCGCCGCGTTTAGCAATATACCAGCAATATCACGGCGAGGGAAAACAAAAATGGGCTTCACACATTGTACCCATGTGGGGAATCGAACCCGGGTCTTCGGCGTAACGAGCGAACACTTTGACCACTAGGCTACCCCCCGCCCCAGTTTGCTCAGAGGGTTACAAGGTTCGATAGACCTGGTGGCACTTGTCCGACATAACAATTAACATTCACACTGCCAGTCATCTCGCGTTCAGAGAAGGAAGTCAACACATTCTTTGATACATCTTTCATATGCGTCCGATTCTCAACATACAGGCTGGAATTCAGTCACTCCTGAGCCACACTCCTCGTGTTGGTCCTTGCTTACTAGTTTGGTAATTACGTACTTTTCCGTGTTTACCTTAGAAGCCAAACGGTAATCGAGTTACCGTTACTCCTAAATCGATATAAGTAATTTCTACCATTTTCTGGGTTGTGATCTTTCAATCTATCTGCTAAAACACATCTAACAAGTATCAAACGGCTGCTTATATCGGCTGGTGCCACAACCCTTCCTCGACTTACGACCGCCTCCGTGGTCTAGTGGTAGAGCGTCCGCCCGGAGAGCGGAAGGTCCGGGGTTCGATCCCCGGCCGCGTCATACCAAAAGACGTTTAAAGATGGTACTTGTTGTTACCCTGTCTGACACTCGGCATTAAGGGGCTAAATCAAGGACTAGTCGGCTTGGCGTCAGTATACTGTGTCTGAGTGGGGTATTCATGTTAAACTGCGGCATGGTATCTCAGTGAGCTGGCACTATAAATCGGCATCAGTCCGGACTAGTACAAGCATCCACACAAACACACACATACACGTCGCTATATAAGTGCAATAATTTTGGACGCGACGTTAAACCTCATTTCACCTCACCTCACCTCACCTCACCTCACCTCACCTCACCTCACCTCACCTCACCTCACCTCACCTCACCTCACCTCACCTCACTCGACTTTAACTCTCACTTTACGTCATCACAGCCAAATACAACTATTTACTTCCGGGTTATCGTGGAACTTTCTGTGTCCATCATTTACCGAATCTGACAGAACAGTCGAAAAAAGTGTCAGGACTTATTATAACAGTAACTCATTACTTTAATTTCTAGAAGGTATATTTACCTTATAACAAAATGCTTCGATGTGCTTTCCTATAAATTGTTTTCTTTATTAAGATACTTTTTAAGTGAAAGATTTCGAATACTTTGGAAAGAATATCCAGCACTGGTATTTATCCTTCGTCTATCCTAGTCACGATGTGACTGAAATACTGCCGATGTGACTTTAAATGTCAACTCACGCACTCAACCTTATTCTATCAAAACACCTGTCGGTTACCATAAGAACGCTCCCCGAAAACCACTAAAATCTGCCTTTTGACATATCATTACAAACCGTCTATATTTTGTGTTTTTTAAACTCAAAATATGCCAGTGTTAATCAGAACAGTTGAAAAAATAATATTCATTAAAATAAACAGAAAGAGTTTTGTTCATGTCTCAATTACGTAGATCTAGAGGACCAAAGTCCTTATCATGACCCGTCCTGTGTATCTCCCTACCTCCCAGCTGTCAGGAATGTACCGTTAGCACTGCCCAGTGCCGTCAGCCCTACCCCAATGGGAATAATTGCAGAAGCTTTGCCAAGCATCCTTTCACCCCATGTCTGAAACAAAGTTTGGAAAACCATCATCAGTATGAGAAAAGGTTGTACCTTCAGACGTAAATCAGGTACAGGAAGTATTTGTCAAGTGTCCTGTTTCAAAGACATTGCACTTTTCAGCTTACAAGCGTATTCTGACGTGTTTTCTTTTTGTTTGGTTTTGGTTATATGTATTTATTATTTAATCCCGCTTGTTGAGTGGGTTTGTGTTAGTTTGGTTAGTTAAGCACGTTCTTCCATCGTTCTTCCACGTTATGGCACCACCTCTTCACTTCACGCGGAACCTCTCGACACTTTCCGGGAACCTGTCGTAATTTCACGGAATTACCCGAAAGTACCTGAATGCTATCTGGCACACTTACCACGGCTATGGCCTCGGATGAGAGCATCTCGTGTTTCGTCATTACCGTGAAGTATGACGTCACCACGAGCATGTAGATTACCATTACCAGTGGTATGACGAATTTCACAAGTCGTGGTAAATTTCTGAAGAAAAACATTTGGCATTAATCTAAAGCTATGTTTCTATCGTCCTCTGAAGGCTGTTCGGGGTTAGAAGAAGCGCAGGTTAGTGGTCGGCTACCTAAAGTTTGCAGAGTTACCTACCTTGGGGGTTTCTTCACACCTCTAGTCACGTGGTTGACGTTGGACCTGTAAGTATTAGGTACAATGAAAGAGCAGCTATGAGATATCGTGTCAAACAAAAGAAGGAAATACGACAAATCTGATGAAATCAAGACATGTTTCAAATTGATTTATACTGTCATTTTTTCGGTGACAGAAAATCTGCTGTGGTATTTTTGTGTGTTTTAACCCATCAAGAGTGACACGCACACAATCAAAAGACGAAGAGACCATTATTGACCACTTGTTTTTATCAGGACATTGTCTATGAGCAGGTTGGTGGCCAAAGATGAGTTGTCACCATATGTGTTCGGTCCTTACCTATATCACGTAGAAAATCAGTTTGTTCAACGATTCGCTCATGTTCATGTATTAGAAGAAGTCATGATGGAAACCTCTGAAGTCATTCTTTTTAACTCATTTTGCACATTTCGTCGCCTGAGAACCATAATATCCTATGTCCACTTTAACAAGTTTTGAGTAAATTATATTTTCAAATTTGAAATTCTGTATAATATTAGGGGCGGTCGGGTAGCCAAGTGGTTAAAGCGTTCGTTCGTCACGCCGAAGACCCGGGTTCGAATCCCATAATGGGTACAATGTGTGAAGCCCATTCCTGGTGTTCCCCGCCGTGATAATGCTGGAATATTGCTAAAAGCGGCGTAAAACCAAACTCACTCACTCACTGTATAATATTAACTTATTAACGATATGCATATATTTCACATTTAACAAACAATTATAACATAATTGATATATTTTTGACGCAAAAGTAAATAACTCTCTTCTCCTTTACAGATAAATGTTATTTTTATGTAAGAGTACCAAAAAAGAAAGGACGTTTTGTTTTTAGATCCATACGTTTCTATTTCCATTAGTAAACCCAATCTGCGTATTGTGATTATTCTCGACCACGGTTTTCACCCAACGGAGAGATCACATACTTGAGACAGTAACTGTAATGAAGTCATCACCTTTTAATTCAGTATTTCAGGTGACAGGTCACAAAAATCACTCCCAATGGTCACATTCTACAGTTGATAAATGATAACCAAAATGATTTGGAACTATGTGGTCCTATCTCCTTATCATGTGATCTGTGTCAAGAATTTGATTGGACACGTGGACATGTCTCAGTAACTTATGATTTCTTTGGGCATGGAATCACTGGAAAAATACTTTCCAGCAACAGGGTTTCATGAAATGTTAGAAAAGCACCAATTTGGAAAGGAAATGCAAAAACATCATTTTGGGTCAAATGTGGACATAGGACTTTCTGGTTCTCAGGCGACGATTTAGTTCGCAAAAGGCGACTAACGGGATCTGTTGGTCAGGCTTGCTGACTCAGTTGATTGCACGTCATCGTATCCCCACTGTGTAAATCGATGCTCATGATGTCAATCACTGGATTGCATGTCCCCGATACAATTATTTACAGACATACAGTTGGACTATTGCTCAGTGTGGCATTAAATAACAAACAAAGTACTACATTTGGTGTTGAAAGTGTTGAAAGTCTACCAAATTTTCTTTGAAATGACCCGCCATAACGGGATTTCTGAAGGTTTTTATCTCATTGCCTTAACGAAGCGGACCTTGTGTGCCCAAAAGAGTCCTTGTCATACATTGCCCTTCGTGAGAGAGATGATTCCAATGAAACATACCAGCCACCGTACGCCCAGAGACCGTTGAATATGGCGAAGGTAATTGATGTCGGGTTGTCCGTGGTACCCTCAAAGCCCCCCTGCAGGATCGTGTAATGACCTTTAACAAAATGTTGTTGTGAGGCTCAACATCAGCTCAAGGCCTTTGTCCCCTCTACCCGCAGCCCAGACAGCGAATTTGACATCTCACAGTCAACGATGCCTGGTGGAACCCACCAAGAACGGAGAATATGGAGACTCCCCCAATATGCATTGATACTCAGATTGAAAAAAGGACTGCGCTCCCAATGGAAAAACCAGGGCCCCTTTTTCCGCAAAGCGATCGTTGCGCTACGACAATCGTAAGTCTATGTTAGAGTATGGGAGTTACGATCACCTTAGTGCTACTATCGCTTTGTGGAACGGACCCCAGGCACTCTACTGATCTGCGCTAAGATATCAGGAGGTACCAAACCGAGGACAGTGGGACGACTGTATATTCTGGATGCAAGCGAGACAATTCAAAAACGCGATCCGCATATGTCTCATGTTTTGATAATCATTAATCTTGCCAATCACATTGATGTCAAATATTGTTAGTTCTTCTTTGTTGTTTAACGCCTCACCCAGCAATATTCCAGCTATATGACGGCGGTCTGTGAATAATAGAGTCTGGGTCAGACAATCCAGTGATTGACATTATGAGCATCGATCCACGCAAATGGGAAACGATGACATGAATCAACCAAGTCAGCGAGCCTGACCACCCGATCACTTACGACAACCATTGTCGCCTCTTACGGCAAGCATGGGTTGCTGGGGACCTATTCTAACCCAATTCTTTGCGGGTAGTAGTAGTAGTCCGTTGTGATGGCGTTTGTGTTGTTACCCTGGAAGAGTCTGGTGATGCCGAGGATGATGACAACAGCCAACGCCGTCACTTTCCCAACAGTCGCCAGAATTTGCACCTGCGAGGCAAGCTTGTTGCTGAGGCCGTTCAGCAGAGCCAGGGAAACTGTGTAGAGAGAAAGCGATGCAGTTATAGAACACATACATCTATCGGTATGATCACTGTTGAACTTTAGATCTGAAAACACAAGTCCATCCATCAGAATACTGGGGTTTTACAGATCACTATTGTTTATTGTCAAGAATCATATTTGGCAGAAACAGACACAAAAATTATGTCTGGTGCAATTCCCTATTTCCCTCTGTTTTTACGTGAATAATTGACGTGCCTTTACATGTGTTTGTGACGGGTGCCAACGGTTGGACAGGATAGGCCCACCTCTTTCGCGAACATCTGGTATAATCACTATTTGATAGTGATTCATAAACATATGTTCATGGCTATAATTTACTTTCCTTTACAAATTGAACTCGAATTAAAATGGAATTAATAAAAGTTTAAGTCATGCCAATTGGGGATTAGCACTGTATAGTAGAAACAACAGCTGTCTCTAAGCCACAGAAAATTTCAACCTAGAAACATTTCAATTTAAGGTCATGTCATTTGAAAATGAATGCTCTGAGACGTCCTTGGTCACCGTTCCCTTGAACGCTCCGTGATGATGTTACTTACTTGACCTGGTTATCTGCTCATCGTGCGTGTTTCACAAAACGTCCTCATGTAGTCCTAATGTAGGTCAGTTATGTCTTGTAGATACGCGTTTTAGGTGTAGAGGTGTGACACTATCCGTAAGTTTATCAAACTAGATGAAGCTTTGTTGCACTAAAGAAAGTTGCATGCCACTATATCTATGTGTCCAGCTCAAGTATGTAGTTGCAGCCCACTAAAGGTAGTTACGTGACACTAGAAGTAGTTACGTGACACTAGAAGTATTTACATGTCACGAGAAGTATTTTACGTGACACTAGAAGTAGTTGTAAGACACTGGAGGTAGTTGTAGGACAATATGGGTAGCTATGTGACACCAGAGGTAGTTAAGTGACACTAGAGATAGCTACGTGACACTAGAAGTAGTTACGTGACACTAGAAGTAGTTACGTGACACTAGAATTAGTTAAGTGACACTATAGATAGCTACCTGAAACTAGAAGTAGTTAAGTGACACTAGAGGTAGCTACGTGACACTAGAAGTAGCTACGTGATATTATAAGTAGTTACCGGACAATAGAAGTAATTACGGGACACTAAAAGTAGCTACGTGACACTAGAAGTACTTACGGGACACTAGAGGTAGCTAAGTGACACTAGAGGTAGCTACGTGACACAAGAAGTACTTAAGGGACACTAGAAGTAGTTACGGGACACTAGAGGTAGCTACGTGACACAAGAAGTACTTACGGGACACTAGAAATACTTACGGGACACTAGAAGTAGTTACGGGACACTAGAAGTACTTACGGGACACTAGAGGTAGCTACGTGACACTAGAAGTAGTTACGGGACACTAGAAGTAGTTACGGGACACTAGAGGTAGCTAAGTGACACTAGAGGTAGCTACGTGAAACTAGAAGTACTTACGGGACACTAGAAGTAGTTACGACCACTAGAAGTACTTACGGGACACTAAAAGTAGCTACGTGACACTAGAAGTACTTACGGGACACTAGAGGTAGCTAAGTGACACTAGAGATAGCTACGTGACACAAGAAGTACTTACGGGACACTAGAAGTACTTACGGGACACTAGAGGTACTTACGGGACACTAGAGGTAGCTACGTGACACAAGAAGTACTTACGGGATACTAGAAGTACTTACGGGACACTAGAAGTACTTACGGGACACTAGAAGTAGTTACGGGACACTAGAAGTACTTACGGGACACTAGAGGTAGCTACGTGACACTAGAAGTAGTTACGGGTCACTAGAAGTACTTACGGGACACTAGAAGTAGCTACGTGACACTAGAAGTACTTACGGGACACTAGAAGTAGTTACGGGACACTAGAGGTACTTACGGGACACTAAGAGTAGCTACGTGACACTAGGGGTAGCTACGTGACACAAGAAGTACTTACGGGACACTAGAGGTACTTACGGGACACTAGAAGTAGTTACGGGACACTAGAAGTACTTACAGGACACTAGAGGTAGCTACGTGACACTAGAAGTACTTACGGGACAGTAGAAGTACTTACGGGACACTTGAAGTACTTACGTGACACTAGAAGTAGCTACGTGACACTAGAAGTACTTACGGGACACTAGAAGTAGTTACGGGACACTAGGAGTACTTACGGGACACTAGGAGTACTTACGGGACACTAGAAGTAGCTACGTGACACTAGAAGTAGTTACGGGACACTAGAAGTAGTTACGGGACACTAGAAGTAGCTACGGGACACTAGAAGTAGTTACGGGACACTAGAAGTAGTTACGGGACACTAGAAGTAGCTATGTGACACTAGAAGTAGTTATGGGACACTAGAAGTAGTTACGGGACACTAGAAGTAGCTACGTGACGCTAGAAGTAGCTACGTGACACTAGAAGTAGTTACGGGACACTAGACGTAGTAACGGGACACTTGAGGTAGTTACAGGACACTAGAGGTAGTAGTGTCAAACTACAACACCAAAATGAGAAACAGAGTCTGGACATATCCCTGACGTCATCACTAGCCTTGCTACACGTGACCGTGCACGTGGTCGACATATCACTACCTGGACATCGCGAGCATCATCCCTTACTCAATGAATGGGTTCGTTTAATTATCTTTTAAACTCAATATTGTTATTAAGATAAGGTCAGACAACTCACACAATACAACAAAAGACATCATCTGTTTCCGATATAGACGCCTTGCCCCCGTGCCTCCTACAGTAGGTGTGCGCCTTTAAGTCAATCAATCAAGATAACCAGGTCAGGCTGAAGGTTAACCATTCAGTCTCATTTCATCAGTGACAAACTTGTCTGGGTATCCAGAGTAAAAAGAAAGAGAGCTTTACACAGGGGCTTTTTCCTGAGTGTGTGGGGGTAGTGAAGAAACACTCGGACAGGCTGCTGGGCGTATGAGGTCCGTGGTCGTCATGACGAGGCCACAAAAACATACACATTCCTTCTGCGATGGATTCAAACCCTTGACAGGAGTTATGATAGGTCAGTTTACACTTGACTATTATATAAACAACACGAGTAGTAACGAAGATATCTGTATATTTATCATGGTTTTTTCCTAACATTTTTATTTTTTTTATTATATTTTCCAAATCTTTTCATGTTTTTATTCAAGGTGCTCAAGTGATTTGATGCACTTCGCGGGATAAGACCCGTTTTATTATAATATAGATCTTAATTATCAATAAGATCGCCTTGACTGGGCGCCGCCCTTTTGTTTGAAGCCAAATGCATGTGATATGAGAGATGGAATCTGATTGGTCAATAGGAGGGACATAGAAGGGTTTAAACTCGTAATAGCCACTGGTGGCGCTACGATTGAGCCTGGAAATTCCAGCTTAGTTCGGCAAGACTGGCAACTGGACATTTATAGTGAGTTAACGCCCTTGCCTCGGGAAGATACATTCTGGACTTAATCACCGTTTGGAAAGAGCGCTCGATGATAGCCTTTCCATGTTGAGCTCGTGTGGCCTAGATCCCGCGGTACATACACAACACGTGTACATGTGTGGGACTGTTAAAGTTATGTCATGAGATATTGCTCACCTGTTATAAAACTAAGATAAACCCGATGACCCGATTCACATCCACGCAGGGCATAGGGTCTTACAGGGCATAGGGTCATATCTTGTAGCAATGTACTTGCGGTATAATGTGCGTTGAGGCTACTGTGTTCCCGATGCTGCTGATGGTACAAGATGGTGAACCTCAGGATGAGGACTGGTTAGACTTTCAGCTGCTATGTAATCTCTATCAGGATTCTTATGCAAGCAGTATACAATGAATTCTGTTTGAACGAAATCAGATAGGGAGAAATGTTTCCTATAACAAGGCACAATGTAAAGTATCACAAGGGGCACCCAGTCATCTAAGGCGCCACAATCCGCTGTCCAGAGTTGCGTCCCTCAAGAAACCAGAAACCTATGGTCGTGGGTTCGAATCCCGTTTCGCCACAATTATGTTTCTAGGTTTGTCATCACCATACCCGTGCTCATGGGTTTCACCAAAGCGGTAAACGTCAAAGACCTGCATCACTTCATGCGTTCCTCCCAAATCAAGCTTACACGTCGTGATGTTACTGGAATACTGTTCAAAGCGGCGTTAGACTCAACTCACTCACTCACTTACTTTCATAAACGTTGTCCCCTTCACACGAAGTTCATTAGAAGCCGAGTGTGTTTGAGTGATAATATACATAAATTTAAAACATAACTGAGTTAGGGGTGTTCGTGTTCAAATCTCTGTCAGTAATGAGTGAGTAAGTTTGGTTTAAACCCGATTTCAGTGATACAGCACGACATGTCAGCTTATTGTGGGAGGAAATTCCAAAGGGACCCGAATCAGCGTTTTCTACTGTTGCTGACTGAGAAGGATCATAATCACTCTATAACTTTCTCACATAAATCTCTATTAAGAGCGATGACACCAGGTGGGGCCAAACGCGAGGAAGGCCAACTGTCGCTACGTCTTAACGACCGCCTACGGCCAAGAAATGACATTGGAAACTGATTTTTAAAGAAAATATAAAACGTTAACGCTGAAGAATAATCAATCTCGATTATCCGCCGAAACAGATTGCATTGGGCAAAAAGGCAAAATAGGTTTGAAACTTGAATGGATAACTGACAATCAGTGATGACACCAGATGTTCGTGAAAAGGGAAATGTCCTGCCCTCCCGGTAGCACCTGTCACTCACACATTTGCACAAAAAATGTAAGTGTTTGTTGCTTGAGGCCGCACAACAGTACAAAATCGAGTCTTGACCAGACAGTCAAGTGATGAACCAGACTATCCGATGACACGATATCGTTAAACTGATGTTTTTGAAACCTTAAAACTATCAGGTCATTTTGAATATACGTTTTCTGTTTACACGTGCAGAGATTCTGCTGCTTATGGGAAAAGATATAAGAAATAGATGTTTTGCAACACAGTCGGAGGGTGGAGGGTGGAGGGGGGTGTGTGTGGGGGTGGGGGGTGGGGGGTGGGGGTTCAAGTAATTATAAAACATCAGCGCCAGAGACTAATCAGTCTTGATTATTTGCCGAAACAGATTCCAAGTGCACAAATAAATATGACAATTAATGCAGGAAGGATCCGTTGGCTGTGGAGCATCACGGATTTCAAGTGTCGATGACCTCTGTCAATGTCAGTTATGCCACAGCATTGGAACATTGGACTTACATAACGTGTGTGTGTGTGTGTGTGTGTGTGCCTGCTTGTACTAGCCCGGACGAATGCCAGTTTTATCGTGCTAACCGCAGTTTAACATGGATACCCACTCAGACAAAGTCTACTGATTTTGAGCCGACCAGTCCCTGTTTAGCCCCTTAATGCCGAGCGCCAGACAGGGTAACACGCACCACTTTAATGTCTTTTGGTATGACGCGGCTGGCGATTGAACCACCGACCTTCCGCTCTCCGGGCGGACCTCTATCCACTACACCATAGTCACACAGTTTTTAGCCTAGTATGCAGACTCCAATTTAGACGCTCTCAACTTTAATGGCATGTACAGTGATGCCTTGTTTTGAAGATGTGCGGCACGATTTCATAGATCTACCGACAACTCATCTTCCCATGACAAGGGCGTTAACTGACTATAAACTGGAACTGGAATTTTATAGTCAGTTAACGCCCTTGCCTCGGGAAGATGGACCACATTCTATTAGGCATTGTGTATTCAATCGTATTTACATATTTACATTGCTTTTAATATGAACTTACCAAGTGCAAGAATTGCCAGAGACTTTCGGATCTTGTCAGAGGGCCCACATCCGTCGTAGATAAAGTCGGCGGTGTAGTCGGCGAATGCGGCACAGAAGACAGCCGTTCCGACTGGTTCTGCAGCTGCGATGCGCATCCAGCAGTAGACGAAGGCTGTGACAGGCCCGAACGCTTCCGAGATGTAGGCATACTCCACGCCCTCTTTCCGGACAGACTCGCGAAGTTCCGTAAAACACAGAGCAGCTGGAAATGTAGAGGAAATACTATGTCCGCTATTTCCGTCATAGTGAAACCACTTTAGGCAGGACCCTGATAACGTTGATGTTACTTCATTAACTCATTCCATAGTTTTGGAATTCTGGCGATTTCACCACCCATATACCATAGTGGCTTTGTACTGTGTTGCGAAAGTATTGAAATATAATTGACCACATTTAAAATTAATTGTTCTCCGTAGGCAGAATAAATTCCTGACGTCAATCCCAGGGAATAATCAGTTTCCATTTTCTGCCGAAACAGATTCCATTGCGTGTATGAGGCAAAATATGCTTGTGCAAAAAGGCTTTATGCAATTTGTTTAGGTCATAGATTTATATTGAATATATTTGACGTGAAACACGTCAGAGTGTCATACTGACCCATCGTGCTGAAGACGCCACACGCCGCCCAGATGACCAGGGACATGGCGATGGAGCCCGACCCCTCCAGAACGCCCTTGGGGGAGGTGAAAATACCAGGACCTGCAATGTCAATAAATATCATGATTCATCTGGGCGATCGTTTGTCTTCACTTCAGCGATCAGTTAAAAGGTTAATTTGGTATCCTTTTGTCTCTTCTGATATTTACGCTGTCTTACTTCACTATACAGTAAACTACGGTTATAACGAACACGCTTATAACGAACTGACGGATATAACGAACTACTTTTTTGGTCCCGATAATTAGCTGTATTATGCTGTATATATGCTTATAACGAACTACGGTTATAACGAACTAAACTTAGTAGTCCCTTTGAGTTCGTTATAACCGTACTTTACTGTATTTCATTAAGCAGGCACTGACTAAATGCGTTTTACGATTATTGCTGTGAATGCCAAAGGGTATACCTTGAAAACAGATTTAGAAATATAACTGTATGTGTTAGGGGGGTAAAGATAATTCCAGGTATATATTTGAAACGTTATAATAATTGTTATTTTAATATGATGGGGACCTACGTAAATACTTCGAGTTATCCGAGGTTTGACATAACCGAAATGCATAAAGAAGGACCACGCAGGGACCAAACCTTTACTTCGAGGCAAACGTAAGTTCGACACATTGACACAATGGTTTTATTTGTTTGTTTATTTATTGTTTAACGCCGCACTCAGCAATATTCCACCTATATGACGGCGGTCTGTAAATAATCGAAACAAACAATCCAGTGATTGATATCATGAGCATCGATCCACGAAAATGGGATACGATGACATGCATCAACCAAGTCAGTGAGCCTGACCACCCGATCCCGTTAGTCGCCTTTTACAGCAAACATGGGTTCCTGAAGACCTATTCTAACCCGGATCTTCACGGGTTTGACACAGTGGTGTGTGACTGTGATAGAATATAATACATCTATGTATTTTTAATTTACATAACTTTTCTCGTCGTTATTTTTTATAGTTTGATAAGGAGCCAGTTTAGCAACACAGGTCCATCAAGACAGCGTCACTAGGCGTGAGTTGCACTTTAATAAGTAGCCAGCAGTGAGCATAGTCTTGCATCCAATGTGTAGACAACGCAGTGGGCATGCTACGTGTTAGTGGCAATGTCACTGTAACATGCACATCAGGACCCACGATGAAGCCACACATTGCTGCAAACACGTGTTTATGTTGCGCATGTCAAACAAATATGCGAAGAGTTGCTTGTTGTCTTAAGCCTCATGTTTCAGCTATATGACGGCGGTTTGTAAATAATCGAGTCTGGACCAGACAACCAAGTGATTGACATGATGAGCATCGATCTACCAAGATCTAGCAATCAACCAAGTCAGCGCGTCTTACCACCCGAACCTGAGACACGCATAGGTGGCTGGGGACCTACATTCTTTCCCAGAATTCCCTTAAAATACCCGATGAAAATACTTTGAGTGTCACATTTACATATTTGAAAAAGTTTCACATTTAGTGGAATATTTCACATTCTTGGAAGTATTGACATTTTGATTTTGACAATTTTGATATAATGAAACGTTTGAAAGTAAACGTTTAGTTTGCAATGGTTTAAGTTAATTTTCCCAAAGAAAATAGTATAAAACTTGTTTAACTCACTTGTTTCACATTTACACATTTCACAATATTTTCACATTCTCCGAAATATTGCCACGTGTTGCGGGAAACGATTTTTGCCTATTATTAACTAAAGCTACATTTAACTAAAGATATATTTTTCATTACTATAGGGAGTTAACTTTATGGAAATATTTGAACAAACTGAAAAATCTAACTTTTTACATTTTCACATTTTCACATTTTAGTGAAGAGCTGTAGACACGTGATATGGGAAAATGGTTTTTGCCTTTTTCAAAAAGCTATGCCCAGATTTTAAATAAACTAAATTAAATTCAACGTTTATTTCACATTGCTTTTGGGACTTTGTTTTACAGTTGTTGCACATTTTCCACATGGATAGACATATTGACGAGAAACGATACTTGCTTATTTGAAAAGTATTATCATGTAATGCCGGCATCGTGGCGCAGAAAGGGGCCGTCAGGTAGCCAAGTGGTTAAAGCGTTCGCTCGTCACGCCGAAGACCCGGGTTCGATTCCCGACATGGGTACAATGTGTGAAGCCCATTTCTGGTGTCCCCAGCCGTGATATTGCTGGAATATTGCTAGAAGCGGGGTAAAACCATACTCACTCACACACTCATAAAATAAGAAATAATCGTCACAATTTTGGTTCTTGAACACTTTCACTGCACTATACCAGATAGACACATTTTTTTATGGATAACAACTTCTTTAATACTGTGAAAAGCGACGTTTCGGTATAGATCCTTATACCGTTGTCAAGCAAGACTGAATGAGGGACATAGTACAGAAGATATATAGTAGGTGGAGGATTAACAGTTATCCATAAAAATTGTGTCTATCTTGTCATCCGTCAACTTCTAAGTAACTTCAAACAATGCACTATACAGCTCGGCAATTGTCTTGGACCCCCACGTCAGTTACACGCTGCAAGTATACGTCATGATGACAGAGCACAGATACACATGACACATGACACGTGTCACATGACGTGTAAATTCAGGAAACTCATGTGATGTCATGTAGTGTTTGCGTTCGAAGGAGGTATCGCCCCGATATCAACACAATGAGTGAGCGTGTGAGTTGGGTTTAACGCCGCTTTTAACAGTATTCCAGTTATATCGTGGCTTGTCAGCTTAATGTTGGAGAAAAGCGCGAACTGATGCAGGTCTCAGACGTTTACCACTTTGGTGAAACCCACGAGCACGGGTATGGTGCTGACAAACCTAGAAACATAATCGGGGCGAACCGGGATTCGAACCCACAATCATAGGTTTCCGGCGTGCCCAAGGGACGCAGTTCTGCAAGGCGAAAACGAGGCGCCTTAGACGACTGCCCCCGCCCCCGCCCCCCAACATCAATACAGCGTAGGATGACCTTGTAGGCGACTTAAGACTCCTTGACATGACGGTTGCTAGTTTTTTAAGGATAGTGTTTAAGGTTAGTTTAACCTGTTTCATGCATTTTTATGCTTGACTTTGCTCCTAATGTTAAACATCAGTAGTGCCAATATCAGACGTTACTCGGTCTCTAGCACTGTCAGTATGTAGCCCCGAGTCGTTAACATTGCATTTATACGACTGCGTTATTTTTAGATTAAATTTTTTTGCAGCATACGTGAAAACACATTTTCGTAAGTTGACCTCGGATTGTGAAGGACTTGTCAAGCTTTGTAGACTTAAGAAGTAGAAATACTGTTATGCAAAAGATAAGACGACTTTGATATTAATACAGATCCCATTTAAAGGATGTCTCATGCATAAAGGCACCATTTGGGTTTTTTTCACTTCGCCTTGGCCAATATTTTTGTTCTGTCAATTTCATACAATTCTCTTTTTCATCCATCAAACGACATTTTTTTGCATACGCATGGGTGTTCTTGGTACTTAGCACATTCTGTTTATCAGAGGATATGACATGTATTCCAACATTCAATGCTGTGTTGAACTGAATATGCCAAACAGTCGAATGCTAGTTACGTTGTTATTGTGCGTTCTGGATGTGACAGGGGCGGTGGAGTAGCCTAGTTTGTTGAAGCGTCCGCTCGTCGCACCGAAGACCTGGATTCGATTCCCAACATGCGTACAATGTGTGAAGCCTATCTCTGGTATCCACCACCGTCATATTGCTCGAATTCTTCAAAAGCGGCCTAAAACCATACGTCCTAAAACCATACGTTCGAACGTCAAACGCATTCGCATCATATATTTGATATTTGTCTCGTGTTTGTTGTAGACGTTGGATTCTCATTCACCAAAAGGTTGAACTGTGTATCGCACGGGTTGCCCAGTCGTCTAAGGCGCCGCGATTCGCTGTGCAGAGTTGCGTCCCTTGGGCACGCCAGAAACCTATGATTGTTGGTTCGAATCCCGGTTCGCCCCGATTTTGTTCCTAGGTTTGTCAGCACCATACCCGTGCTCGTGGGTTTCACCGAAGTGGTAAACGTCTGAGACCTGCATCACTTCGAGCTTTCCTCCCACATTAAGCTGACACGCCTCGATATAACTGGAATACTGTTAAAAGCGGCGTTAAACCAAACGCACACACTTAACTGTGTATTGCAGGACGTCTACACAAGCTTTATGGATCTTCACGAGCAGTCCAGTCTGGCTCTGTTGAAGTCAGTAGTGCTTTCATACAACTTCACGAAGGGTTGTCTAGTACGGTTCATTTAGTATTCATTAAAACGCCATACATCACCTGAAATCCCTGTCATATCATATGTGGGGTACCCTTATCTCGAGCTAGCTCGCGTAACTCCAGGCCTTTTATCAATAAACACGACCTCGGACCAGAGTAATTGATAAAGCCATAGCTTAAAAAACACGTACTATAGAAAGTCATTGTAAAACCTACACACGTGATAAAAGCATGCAGAGCGCCCCACACTAGAGGCTGCAGTTCCCATGGAATATAGTCAGCATGGACGATCTTTATTTATTAATATCTGCACAATTATATCTTTTTATTCAAACTCACGTCGTCACGACCTCTAATAAAGTATTGGGAATGTAGCATGTAGCAGACATGAGGAAAGTCATACTCAAGTTTGTAAAGGTCAAGCTCAAAACAAACTTTTCATTTTCTGGAATGAATTGTAGGGTAGGTGGGATTGGGTTTGTGAATTAATAACCTGTGCTTTTATCAGGCAATGTTTGTTTTTGATTTTACCGAAAGTGAATAAATGTTGTTTAACGCCGCAGTCAGCAATATTCCGACGTTAACACGGCGGCCTGTAAGTAATTTACAACCGCAAACCATTGACTGAAAGCACCAGCAGCGATCAACGCAATGGAAGTAGGTGCACCGGATCAACGGACCATCGGACCAACCGATCCCATCTTCAGCCAGCCCTAAGGACACGCGTGCTGTGTGGATGGCATGGTCCCCAGAGTGTATTGACTAGGCAGGTTTGAATAAGCGCCAGAGTTATAAATCACAAAGTATATAATTTCCAATATGTAAACTTGAAATGATGACGTTATTTGGTCCAAATGTGCTTCTTGTCTGTCACAAAATAGAATCTTTGAGACCTGTAAAGAACAAGGTATCGTGGCGCTACGGAATCCGCTCACCTATAAGAGTCTGCGCTATCAGGGAGCCACCGTAGATGAGGCCGATTTCCTTCAGGTCACTACCCCCTCCGTCAGCAGGGGCGTTAGGTTTGAGGGTAAAATCCACGTGCTTGTGTCCTGGGCCACCTTTGCCTGCCCCTCCCTCATCCCCAGACTCCGGTGTCACCCACACGTCTGTCAAGCGGTTTGGTTCTCGCCATGACACCCGACGTTTCACGGTGGCTACGTACAAAGGCAAAACACAGGTATTGACTGGAATAGGAGGACTCGTGATTGGATGACGAGGAAAACCTGACGATCATTTTTAAAGCAATTGGATGAACCAATAGGAAATATAATTGAAACAAATAGACACCAGGAGTGTGTGTGTGTGTGTGTGTGTGTGTGTGTGTGTGTGTGTGTGTGTGTGTGTGTGTGTGTGTGTGTGTGTGTGTGTGTGTGTGTGTGTGTGTGGTCATTATACATACATACATACATACATACATACATACATACATACATACATACATACATACATACATACATACATACATACATACTTACATACATACTTACATACATACATGCATACATATATACATACATGATAAGCACACAGGGAAATGCATAGAACAGGAAGCGAACATAAGGAAATGCATAGAAAAGGATGCGTACATTAGGAAATGCTTAGAACAGAATCAGCACATAGGGAAATGCATATAACAAGATGAATACATAAGGAAATGCTTAGAACAGGACGAGCACATAGGAAAATGCATATAACAGGATGAATACACAGGGAAATGCATAGAACAGGATGAGCACATAGGGAAATGCATAGAACAAGATGAATACATAAGGAAATGCTTAGAACAGGGTGAATATATAAGGAAATGTATAGAACAGGGTGAGTACGTAGGGAAATGAATAGAACAGGATGAGTACATAGGGAAATGCATAGAACAGGATGACTATATGGGGAAATGCATAGAAAAGGATGAGTACATAGGGAAATGCATAGAAAAGGATGAGTACATAGGGAAATGCATAGAACAGGATGACTATATGGGGAAATACATAGAACAGGATGAGTACATAGGGAAATGCATAGAAAAGGATGAGTACATAGGGAAATGCATAGAACAGGATGACTATATGGGGAAATACATAGAACAGGATGAGTACATAGGGAAATGCATAGAACAGGATGACTATATGGGGAAATGCATAGAACAGGATGAGTACATAGGGAAATGCATAGAACAGGATAAGTACATAGGGAAATGCAAAGAACAGGATGAGAACATAGGGAAATGCATAGAACAGGACGAGCACATAGGAAAATGCATAGAACAGGATGAATACATAGGGAAATGCATAGAACAGGATGAGCACATAGGGAAATGCATAGAACAGGATGACTATATGGGGAAATGCATAGAACAGGATGAGTACATAGGGAAATGCATAGAACAGGATAAGTACATAGGGAAATGCAAAGAACAGGATGAGAACATGGGGAAATGCATAGAACAGGACGAGCACATAGGAAAATGCATAGAACAGGATGAATACATAGGGAAATGCATAGAACAGGATGAGCACATAGGGAAATGCATAGAACAGGATGAATGCATTGCGAAATGCATAGAACAGGATGCGTGCATAGGGCAATGCTTACGAAATGTTTATATAGGGGAAATGCATAGAACAGGATGGTACACAGGGAAATGCATAGAACGAGATGAATACCAGTACACAGGGAAATGCATAGAACAAAATGTTTATATAGGGGAAATGTATAGAACAGGATTGGTACACAGGGAAATGCATAGAAGGAGATGGATAAATAAGGGAAATGCATAGAACGGGATGAGTTCATAGGGAAATGCATAGAACAGATCTAGAGTGAGTACACAGGGAAATGCATAGAACGAAATGTTTATATACGGGAAATGCATAGAACGAAATGAGTACATAGGGAAATGCATAGAACAGGATGAATATATGTGGAAATGTATAGAACAGGGTGAGTACGTAGGGAAATGCATAGAACGAGATGCATACATAGGGGAAATGCATAGAACAGGATAAATACACAAGAAAATGCATAGAACGAGATGCATATATAGGGGAAATGCATAGAACAAAATGGGTACATAAGGAAATGCATAGAACAGGCTGCGTATAAAAATGAAGAAAACTGGATGAGTGCAAGAAGAGGTTGCGTACAATATAGAATATACAATATAGAATATACAATGTAGAATATACAATATAGATGCATCAATATAGAAAGCATGATATTATATTTGATCAATGCACAAAATGTGACATTAAACGTACGTGATGCCTAAAACATAATAGACAACCTATTAAACAGTACAATGTACAATATTTCTTTGCACACCTAACGACGTAGATCATGTCATTGTAGAGAAGGCAACATGTGGTTTCTGTTGGTTTGTTTTGTTGTACTTTAAGATAAAATATGTAGGACGTTGTTTTCTGTCCTCAATCTGAAACTATTGTAGTGGCTTTAAATTTGATTAAATAGTTTTGTTGTGATTTAGAAATCCCTATAAACATCATGTTGTGCTTATACTGAAGCAGCAACCAGACATGAGACGTAGTATTGAAGGCCCCATGCAATATTCAAAACCGGAATAAATATATCGTCACCTTATCGCCAAAATGTTTATCAGAAATATTGCCATGTGACATGGAATCTACGAGGTCAAACAGTCGAGACACGTGTATCTAATTTTATTGGAAATTCGGCTGGTGTATTCTCACGAAATGACTTAATCAGTTCTAATTCAAGTTTACTAAATGGCGTTGAGACTACAAGAATAACGGCGTATCTCCAACTTACCCCCAGAGCTGGTCATGTTAATGAATGTGGCGTGTGAGAGATAGGTTCGCCGTTTATCTCATTGTCCCTTATCATTTATCATACCTTTCTATGTCACTTGTCACCAAATATGTCCTTTTGGGCCTTGGTGGGAAACAAATATGTCCCCTCATTTGGTTGGTTGATGCAACGTGTGCGCGTGCCCACGCGCAGTTATGTTTGGTATCGGTGCTCTGGTTGGTTGATGCAGTTTAAACGCATGCTCACGTGCCGGTGTGGCCTCGGACTTTTTGTGGATGTGATCACGGGATGTGTTCAAAACAGTTTTTAGTTCCTCCGAACCAGCGAGTGAATTCTTCTGTAACCAGTGTCTGATACAACCGTCTCAAGGAGGGGAGGGGACACCTGCGCTACTAGTGGAAGTTAGAGACAGGACTTGTTATCATTGCTTTATTAGATTTGAAGTTTTTAACACACTCCTTCATAATGTTCTCGTTAAACATTTTTATTCGATTTAAAACTTCATATAAACTCTTTTGATTAGAAATTGTTATTGTTTCATCCGCCCGTCTCGTGCAAGTGGGGATACAGTTTTTTGGGGAAAAGGGCGTTGAAAACAAATATCAAAAAGATTTAGTTATATATTCATATGGAACACTCGAAGGGACATTTTCGCGTTGTCACCCTTACAAAAGCACGCAAAATGTATCCAAATAAACCAAAGCGCGACAACGCAACGTTTTGACCAATTGTTGCATTGTCGTGTTATCGCATTGTTGCCCTTTGAATAATAGTTTTGGTGTTTATCAAAGAGACAACGCGACAGTTCTCAAGGTCAAAATATGCTCGCTCACAAATATAACGAGTCAAAAAGGCGTGACAATGTTCGACATTATTGATAAGCCTATGCTAGTACAGTGCTACCCAATAGTCGCATGTGTACATATCAAAATGATCGCCCATTGTTCTGTCAAGATTCCTAATGTATTACAAAGGGATATTTTCGAATAGAATCTGTTTCCCATGCACTAGCAGAGTGTACCAAAGTGAAACCCATATGGCAAAAACTGGAAGAGTGGCTATCAGATGAGATTCAAGTTAAGCTCACATTAACAAGAAAAAAGATTCTGTTTGGATTTGATCAGCTACACAACGATCCTATAAATGTTATTATCTTACTTTGCAAATTCGTAATTTTTAAATATAGATATTCAAAAAAGGTACCGAACTTCCAGTTTAAAAAAAAAGAGATTTACAAATATTACATGCTTACAAAATACACAGCCCTCATAAGTAATAGTATCAATAAATTCTACAAATTTTGGTCATCTTGTCATCTTTTGTTTTCCACACAATAATTCTGTTCTCAACTTTTGTTTACTGCCTATGTATTACATTGTATAGCCCATGTGTAAAAATGCAACATAAATAAAAGGTTTTTAAAAAAAATATTTTCGAATCTCGAATCTCGAGCTCCACTTCAACTACATATGTTTTCTCGACGTCCTCTGAGGCTTGTCTTTCAATGGGAACCAACAATATTGGCATCTGTTGATTGGCCCGGCCACAATATTCCGTTCATTATGTTCTGTATTTTGTTATCGGGCGCCATGTCATCTTGGAAAATGTTATTGTTTTCCAGCAAATGCCTCGCTATTACAGGCCACAAGTGAGAATCAAGTCCTAGTATATCTTTATATTTATGAGCACTCGTGTGCCCATGGACAACAGTCAGTGTTCTTACATCATGCAATTACTACAGGCCCAGGATCCTGTTCTTAGCAATCTCAGCGCTACGACTATCGTAAGCATTTGTTAAGGTATGGGAGCTACGATCATCTTAGCGCTAAGATCGCTTCGTGCAAGTGGGCCCAGATCATCAAACTGACACAGGCACCGGGGGAGATACTCCTTGCCAGGCTGACTCCAAACTTACACGGGACTATCTTTACCAATAATATCCTTGTATTCATTAGCAAAGATAACTTTAGATGAATACAATTTTCCATCGCTGTACATGTCCTTGAGACCTTGACTAACACTTAGTCAATGAAAACATGTCTTTAATTTTTTTTTCTTCTAAAGAGCCTTTCCTGTTCTGCTGTTTTCATAAGCAAACTAGACTTACCTAGGCTTTTAGTAAAGGGCTCATGGTTCATGACTACGTGTGAATTTCACACAGTAATCAGGAATTCTGATCTTCCTTCTTACAACTTGTCTGTCGAATAGATTTCCATAAAGTCTTCGTTTCATAGGTTTCGTCCCAAATCGTCTCATTTGGACACATCTCGACACTATTTTCTGTTTTCAGTAATAGCTGCCAAATGTGGAGTTGTGATAGACCTGATGGCTAAAAAAATTAAAGTTGACACGTCGAGTTTTCTCACACGTTTTCAATGGATCCACACTGTTGATAACGTCTAATAAAAGACTGCTTCTATGCATTCCCCATTCCTGATCTAATTCTGAGCCGTTTTGGCCCCCTAAATACTTTTCGAAAATTAAGTTTTTGACGGCTGTCGCAAAACCTTTTGACTTTCGCATTCTTCGGGAAATGGTCTCAAAAAGGAACCAGAAGAGAACATACGTGACATAACTAGCATGCCATGTTAATATGAATTAGTTTTCTGCAAATTATTAGGAACAAGAAACATGTGCATGCACTAGACATTGAAGATAGAGCGGCCGGTGTCCCAATGTAACCTGCCATACATGCATAATGCCACAATGATACCCCAAAGCTTGGTTCTGATTTCCCCATTTAGAAGCTTTGCAACATTGAGAGCCAACATGAGTATATCTGAAGAAATTTTTTATATTTCTGATTGCAGTTTTATCAAACGGCGCCATGAAGTAATATTGATGTAACCCTGATGTCTGTAGACGTTACGGGTGAAGTAACTACTCATGTCCCTGATGTCTGCAGACGTTACGGGTGAAGTAACTACGCATTTCCCTGATGTCTGCAGACGTTACGCGCATTTCACTGATGTCTGTAGACGTTACGGGTTAAGTAACTACTCATGTCCCTGATGTCTGCAGACGTTACGGGTGAGGTAACTACGCATTTCCCTGATGTCTGTAGACGTTACGGGTGAAGTAACTACGCATTTCCCTGATGTCTGCAGACGTTACGGGTGAAGTAACTACGCGTTTCCCTGATGTCTGTAGACGTTACGGGTGAAGTAACTACGCATTTCCCTGATGTCTGTAGACGTTACAGGTGAAGTAACTACTCATGTCCCTGATGTCTGCAGACGTTACAGGTGAAGTAACTACGCATGTCCCTGATGTCTGCAGACGTTACAGGTGAAGTAACTACGCATGTCCTGATGTTTGTAGACGTTACAGGTGAAGTCACTACGCATGTCCCTGATGTCTGTTGATGTTACGGGTGAAGTATCTTCAGATGTTCCGGATGTCTGCAGACGTTACGGGTAAAGTATCTTCAGATGTTCCTGATGTCTGTCGACGTTACGGGTAAAGTATCTTCAGATGTTCCTGATGTCTGTCGACGTTACGGGTAAAGTATCTTCAGATGTTCCTGATGTCTGTTTATCACAATTTCTACAGCGATGTGCTGCACTTGTGCTGCATGTTCTGCGAGTGGAAAACAGAAAACACATCATGACAAACAAAAACGGCTCAGAAAGACACTGTAACCAAAAATGCGACGCTTGCAACGTGACGACGTTAACGTGCAATAAGGATTGCTGCAATTTTGCACTTGACGGAGTGTTGTGGCAGAAACGCTGAATGCGTCGTAACCTTGATCAGTAGATTGTGGACTAGATATCGAAAGATACATGACGTTGATGACAGACGTCGTCGTTCAGGACGTCCAAGACCGATAACGCCAGCCAAGATCGTTTCAAGAGAGTGGTTAGACAATTCAAAAAACAATTGACATGACAGACGAAATCGGGTGTGGTGAGCTCGAAAGAAGTGTTTTGTTGACGTCAACAAGATCATGATCGAGTGAGTGAGTGAGTGAGTGAGTTAAAGCTTTACGTCACATCGGCAATATTTCAGCCATATCGTCAAGGACTTTGGTGAAACCCATGGGTACGAGTATGAAACCTAGAAACCTAATCGGGACGAACCGGGATTTGAACCCACAAACAGTGGTTACTGGCATGACTAAGCGATGCACGTGACCATGGCAAGCACTGAGCCCTCACCTTCACCTATAGAGCACGTGACCTTTACCTTAAGAGCACGTGTGGAACAGTGTCGGGAGACGTCAACGTTGAAGACCACCGGCCACTTTGAATCAACTGAGCAAATCTGTCAAGATTAGTGCGGTCCTACTAAATAACGTCCGGGAGCGTCCGGGAACATGCGGGAGAATGATAATAAATAATAAAGTGTATTCTATATAATTGTGTTCTTGTGTTAATTATAATAAAGTGCCATTAATTAGGGTGTCAACACCCTCCTCCCCCGAATCACAAAAAAACATCTAATTTTTCAATCTTTACTGCATTATTATTTAACTCCGGGACGTCAGATGAAACCTCCCGGACGCTCCCGGGCGTTAAACAGTCGGACCCGATGAATGGGACAGACTGAACCAAGCCTTCATTGAAACGCGTAAATTCACCCTTGGTGTCATATACAGTGGGTTCACGCCATCATTGCTCGCCACTGATATTTTGTGGCCACTAGAAGAGTTGTTGAACTTCTCACACGTCATGATCAAACATATTCTTTATCAAATTGTATTGACAGAAGAGTGTGTGTCTTGCTGTTTACCAATATCCCCTACTTAACAGTATATATCCGTTGCCCACCACCCCCGTCCACCGTTCGAAGGGATATATATTATGATATATCCGTTGCACAATATCTCCGTCGATCGTTCGAGTTGAAAACTGTTGACGTTAGTTTTAATTTCACATCAGCCAACTTCTCTTAATACTGGAATAGTTGCTGCTCCAGAACCAGTGTCGATTTCCATACATATTCGTTTTCCATTGACAAAACGTTCACTTTTACAGCTTCGCATTTTGACGAAGTGTTGTGAAACATTCCAGTGACATTTTCACTATCGTCGCAATCTTCATGGCATTCTGCTTCATCAATATGTTTCATGCTAATCTGGTTTGGTGATCTACCTTCTGACATTGAATGT